TTTGTCAGTGTGTCTGTCTGTCTGTCTGTGTCTGTATCTGTATCTGTGTGTGTGTGTGTGTGAGAGAGAGAGAGAAAGACAGAGACAGACAGTCAGAGACAGGGACAGAAAGACAGAAAGTGAGGAGAGGTAGTGTTTAATGTCTATTTGAAACACAAAGCTTCTGAAAGTTACATAAAATGCCTTTGAGAACTGGAGATTGTTCAATCTCTCACTGTACACGTTCCTTACTTTTGTTTCATTGATAAAATGGGTACTAATGATAGTTAGTTTTTTTTCTTTACTAAAGCAAGGCAAACCATGCTATCTTTTCACCCGTGTTTCACTTACTAATAAAATCCCGAGTGGTGGCATGAGCTAGGCCGTGACGCTGGCCCACAGGAGGCAGAAATGAGGATGCCTCTGAGGAACTCAGTGATGCCTACTGGCAGGCTTGAGGCTAAAAACCAAAGAGGAAGAGAAGCCAAAAGCACATTAACAACAAACAAACGAACAAACAAACCACCTGTATGAGATTCTTGAAAGGAGACTGAAACCCGCTGGGAATTGGAACCTGCACGTGCTAGATGCACCACTTAGCCGGGAGCCCCATCTTCAGCTGCTAGAATAAAATTCAGACATGAAACAATTTACAGCTGGTATTTTTGTCATGTCAATGACCTCCCAGTCATGGTTAAGTAGAATACAAAAAATAAGCAATTAGTTAATCTTAAAATTCAGTGTTTACTCTTAAAATGGCATTTTCTTGTTTGAATTTCATGCAGCCTTCCTAGAATGTCACATTAAGTGGTGACTGCTGTGTTCTCATGACCTTTGTAGCTTAATTGGACTGAGATTTTATTAGTTTTAGCACCTCCATCCCCCAGACATTATAAGCTTATTTTGGAAAGAACTCTACTTTTGCTAGTGGTGAATACTCAGGTAGTATCAGCCACATGTTAGAAAAACAGAGGAAGGGCTGGGAGATGTGTAGCTCAGGAGAGTGCTTGCTGTTTGTCCATCCTCAGTTTGCCTGTAAGAAGTTGGACATTGTGGGGCATCCTGTAACCTCACTTCAGGGGAGGCCAACTTAGGTGGAAAACTGGGGGCGGGGGCCAGCCTAGCCAAAACCAAGTTGTGCGTAACTCACATGTGCACACATATGAAGGAAAAGAGAGAAAATGCGTTTTATTTAAAACTCAAGATCATATTTTTGTATATGAGTTATATATGCCCAGTGGTTAGTACACAACTATTTATATATATTTATTTTTTATAATAATTTTTATTTTTTTATATTAATCACAGGTTATTTACCTTGTATCCCAGCAGTAGCCTCCTTCCTCATTCCCTCCCAATCCCACCATCCCTCCCTCATCTCCTTCATGCTCCTTTCCAAGTCCACTGATAGGGAAGGTCCTCCTCCCCTTCCATCTGACCCTAGCTTATCAGGTCTCTTCAGGATTGGCTTTAATGCCCACCTTTATAGCCTAACTAGGCTGCTCCTCCCTCGGAGGTGGGGTGTCAAAGAGCCAGCCATTGAGTTCATGTCAGAGACAGTCTCTGTTCCCCTTACTAGGGTACCCACTGAGCTACCATGGGCTATATACGAGCAGGGGTTATAGGTTATATCTATACATGGCCCTTGGTTGAAGAAACAGTCTCATAAAAGACCCCTGTGCCCTGATATATTTGGTCCTTGTGGAGCTCCTATCCTTTCCACCTCAGACTAACTCCCCCTTCTTTTGTATGATTCCCTGTACTCTGCTAAAGGTTTGATTATGAGTCTTAGTATCTGCTTTGATACACTGCTAGGTAGAGTCTTTCAGGGGCCCTCTGTGGTTGGCTTCTGCCCTGTTACTTGTTTTCTTTTAGTCCAATGTCTAGCCCATTTGTCTTTCTAAGTGAGGATTGATCATCTTACCCGGGTCCTCTTGTTTATCTTCTTTAGGTGGATAGATTTCAGTATATTTATCCTATCTTATAGGTCTGTATAAGTGAATATATACCATGTGTGTCTTTCTGCTTTTGGGATACCTCACTCAGGATGGTCGTTTCTAGGTCCCACCATTTGCCTGCAAATTTCATGATTTCCTCGTTTTTAATTGCTGAGTAATATTCCATTGTGTAAATGTACCACAATTTCTGTATCCATTCCTCAACTGAGGGACATCTGGGTTGTTTCCAGGTTCTGGCTATTACAAATAAAGCTGCTACAAACATGGTTGAGCAAATGTCCTTGTTGTGTACTTGAGCATCTTTTGGATATAGGCCTAGGAGTGGTATGGCTGGATCTTGAGGAAGCACTATTCCTAATTATCTGAGAAAGTGCCAGATTGATTTCCAAAGTGGTTGTACAAGTTTCCATTCCCACCAGCACTGGAGGAGGGTTCCCCTTTCTCCACAACCACTCCAGCATGTGTTGTCACTTGAGTTTTTGATCTTAGTCATTCTGATGGGTGTAAGGTAAAATCTCAGGGTCGTTTTGATTTGCATCTCCCTGATGGCTAAGGACGTTGAGTATTTATTAAAGTGTTTTTCTGTTGTTCTACAATCCTCTACAGAAAGTTCTCTGTTTAACTTCATACCCCATTTTTTAACTGGATTACTTGATTTGTTGCTTTTTAACTTCTTGAGTTCTTTATATATACTGGATGTTAGCCCTCTGTCAGATGTAGGGTTGGTGAAGATCCTTTCCCAGTCTGTAGGGAGTCATTTTGTTTTGATGACGGTGTCTTTTGTTTTACAGAAGCTTTTCAGTTTCATGAGGTCCCATTTATTTATTGTTGATCTTAGAGCCTGTGTTGTTGGTGTTCTGTTCAGAAAGTTGTCTCCTGTGCCAATGAGTTCAAGGCTGTTTCCCACTTTTTCTTCTAACCGATTTAATGTGTCTGGTTTTATGTTGAGGTCTTTGACCCACTTGGACTTTAGTTTTGTGCAGGGTGATAAATATAGATCTATTTTCATTTTTTTGCATATAGACATCCAGTTGGACCAGCACCATTTGTTGAAGATGCTGTCTTTTTTTTCCATTTAATGGTTTTGGCTTCTTTATTAAAAATCAAGTTTCCATAGGTGTGTGGGTTTATTTCTGGGTCTTCTATTTAGTTCCATTGATCCACTATTCTTTTTCTATGCCAATACCATGCAGTTGTTATTACTATTGCTCTGTAGAACAGCTTGAGATCAGGGATGGAGACGCTTTGTTGTTGTACAGGATTGTTTTGGAAATTCTGAGTTTTTTGTTTCTCCCTATGAAGTTGAGAACTTTTCTTTCAAGGTCTGCAAAGAATTAAGTTGGTATTTTGATGGGAATTGCATTGAATATGTAGATTGCTTTTGGCAGAATGGCCATTTTCACTAAGTACACAACTATTTTTGAGAAGTCAGGAGGTTACTTTTTAAAAAGCATGAGTCATTTTTTTAAAAAAACGTATTTATTCCTCTCATACAATAAAGCTCTACCACAACTTCCTCTCCCTCCACTCCTCTCAGTTCCCCACAGCTGTCACCTCCTCTTTTCTCCAGATTCACTCACCTTCTGTTCCCTTCTGCGCCCTCCCCCCCAGAAAAAGAGCAGGAACATAGCATAACAAATTACAATTAGACCAGGCACATATCCTAATATCAAGGCTGGATGAGGCAACATAGTAAGAGGAAAAGTGATCCAAGAGCAGGAAAAAGAATCAGAGACACCCTAACTCTCACTGTTAGGAGTTTCACCCAAAACAGCAAACCAACAACCATAACATATATGCAAAAGACCTAGGGGAGACCCATGCAGGCTCCATGATTGCCAAAGAGTCAATTTTTAATGTTAGCTTTTGGTTATAATTGTTGAGACCAGCTGTCAAACAGAGAGCTCCTTTTAAAATGCTTAATTCAGTTTGAGTGGCTTTGAAGCAAACCACCCGCAGTGACATTTACAAGCGCTAGAATTTCAGAGTCCGAAGCCTTAAAGGCAGACTGGTCTTGTCTCTACAAAATTCAGGGAGCACACCCTTGCCTAAGTCCCTCTGCAAGCAGAGAGGGGCCATGCAGACAGACACGGCGGGGGGAGGGGGGGGCTACTCACAAAATCATTCCAGAAAACTTCCCTACACTCAAGCACTTATTTTTTTAAATCTATAATTACAAAACAAACAAACAAACAAACAAAAAACAGGCTAGTGTCAGTTCACTCTTCTTAACAATATCCAAAATAATAATGATGTTGACTTGCGGTTCGCAGTACCTTCCCTCAAGAATAAAGGACAAAAGGTGTGTCTCATTCTACACTCTTTATCTCACCCTTCTTATGAGTTCACGTAGCATATTTTCTCTCTAACCTTCCTTCCCATCCCTTTTCTCTCTCTTCCTACGTTCCTGCTAACAGTGGGAAGTTGGAAACACCTTGACTTGAAGTTAGAGTCACATGACTTTTACATAAAAGAACTTGGCAGACATAGAATATTCAAGACTATTATTTTAGAGATGAATACCTTTAAATTGCCCATGATCTCTGTTCTACTAAAGTGTACAATTTCAAGTATAATCTAAAGAGGAATAAAATTAATAATCAGTATTTTGAATTGCACGATGCATTAGGTAGGTTTTTTTTGTTTTTTCTTCTTCTCTCAACTTGACACAAACTAGATTCATCTAGGTAGAGGGAACCTCCACTGAGGAATTGCCTTTATCAGACTGGCCTGTGGGCATGATTGATGTGGGCAGTGCCACACCAACACACACACACAGACACACATACACACACACACACACGGTCACTTTGGTCCCGAGTTGTGTAAGAAAGCAGGTTGTGCAAGCCACGAGGAACAAGGCAGTAAGCAGCCCCCCCCCCATGGTCTTAGCTTCCGTTCCTGCGTCCAGGTTCCAGCTTGAGCTCCTTCCTTGGTTTCCCTCATGATGGACTGTGCCCCAGCACAATAAGAACTACATCCTTTCCTCCCCAAGTTGCTTTTGGTCAGTGTTTACCGCAACAACGGAAGTCAATCTGAGTGCTGTTTGCTTACTGGTTTTAGAATAAGCACGCCCTGGCAGTTGTGACTATTGAGAAAATGCTGGAGAGGCTGAAAAAGTCCAATGAACTCCTGGAGCTCATCCTTAAAGGGCTGAATGAGTACTTGGAAAAGAAGCGCCTCTTCTTCCCCCGGTTCTTCTTCCTGTCTAACGACGAGCTTCTTGAGATTCTGTCTGAGACTAAGGACCCCACCCGGTAAGTAGCGCCCATGCCAGGACGCTTGGCTACCTACATCAGTTTAAACTTAACATTTTGGAACAAGATAGAACATAAATAATGATGGACAACTATGTTTATATGAACTTTCTACAAGAATATTCTAAGCATTGTTAGCGATGATTAAGTTATCAGTTATTGAATATATATATATAATGTTTCTGCATATGTCCTTTTGAATAGGGTGGACCTTGGGGTGGAATTTTTATCTTATTACATATTTTTTTAAGAATCTGAGGACACATCACTCTTCCATATCACACTGATCTTTTCATGCATATTCAAAATACATCAATAAAAGCCAGGCATTGTGGTGCTTTATGACTTCCTATGGTCTCAGCGACGGGCCATTCTCAAATATAGCATGAGGAGGGATGAAGTTAATAAGTAGCAATTTTGGGTCAGTGTTGTTTATTTTCTACTTTTATCATAAGCACATTCTGACCGTTATGAGTGTTGAGAGGATGCTGGAGAGGCTGAGCGTCAGCTTTAGGGCTGCTCCTGCAATTCTCCTGAAGGTCCCTCAAGGACCATTCTCTCTGCTTAGGCTGTGGGTCCCAGCTCCTTTGGCGTATTTATGTTTTATAAACTTTATTTTTTTCAGTATTGAAGTACAAGTTATTTTGTAATGTATTATATTAATATATAATAAAATAATCAGGTATTTATATTGCAATTCATAACAGCAGCAAAATTACATTTATAAAGTAGCAGTGGAATAATTTTATGGTTGAAGGGTCACCACAACAAGAGGAACTGCACTAAAGGATCATTGCAGCATTAAGAAGGTTGAGAATATTAAGGCTTAGAATATTCCTTAAATATCCATTTGACTTCTTTATCTCTCTCCTGGAGATCTTTATGGATAACCGCACCAACATCCACCACTGGGGGAGGCCTTTCACACCCACTCTATTTAAAATGACACAGCATTCTCTGGCAACTTTTCCTGGAGGTATACCTCTGTCTTTTACTCCTTCTGCATATTTGAATCACACACACGGCCTGTAATGGACTTACTTATTGCTTCACCTTCTGTGGAAGAATGCGAATTCCACAGCAAAGGTTTTCCACTAGATTTTTTAATTGCACATTCCTCAGTCCCTCGGGAAAAAAATCTGATCAGTGAATAAATCTGGTAGTGAATAAATGTTTTTATCAAACAAATTAGTTTATTGTCGACCTTGTACCTACATAGAAAGAGTCAGAGTCTGGACAGATAAGATAAGTTCAGGCTCACATCTTCATCTGAGTTTTATTCCTTACTTCTTTTTGCCCATTTAAAGATGAACTCAGCTGAAAATGTGCCAAAGTGATGTGTTAGTCATAGTGTACATAGTGGCTAGAAAGATGGCAGGCATGCCAGACCTGTTGAATCATCAAGCTGTAAAGTTCCTAGATGCTAAACCTAGCCTGTGAGTTTCAAAATCATCGACGATCCCACTTGAAATAGATATTCGCCTTGGAAGACCGGCTTACAGCCCTCAGAGAACTTTTAGAGAACTGTAGCTGGAACTGATTTGTTCATGTGCTCCTTTTGGCACATTTCCACTCATTGGATTGAAAACAAAGATATGCTTTGTTTTCAAATCTTACTACTTTCTTTGTACATGCTTAAATTTAGATGACGATTACTGAACAAAGAACCCTGACACGTTAGCAATTATAGTACTTTGACCACTTGTTTAATTTTTTTTTTTTCAACAGAGTGCAGCCTCACCTGAAGAAATGCTTTGAAGGAATTGCAAAGGTCGAATTTACAGAAACTTTAGAAATCACACATATGAAGAGTAGTGAAGGAGAAGTCGTGGAACTCATAGAAACCATTTCAACAGCCAAAGCCAGGGGTCAAGTGGAGAAGTGGCTGCTTGAGTTAGAAAGGGTTATGATTAAGTCCCTCCACAAGGTAATTGCTTATATTTGTTATTTTTAGAAATGTTGCCCACAAATATGTCATTGATAAATAGACTGTGAATTAGGTAGTAATTTATCAGTCATCAATTATTATTCAAAGTCTAACTTTTTGGTACTTGTTGCTGTGACAAAATATTGAAAATGGGAGACTGGGGTGAATGCTGGTGCTCAGCTCACCTCATCTTTATCTGTGATTTACGCAAGCTATCCTAGTCTTTGGTACAGTACTGTCCACGCTCAGTATGGGTCTTCCCTTCAGTTAAGCTTCTCTAGAAAGACTCCCAGACATAGCCAGAGAAGAGTCTAATCAAGCCAATTGACCTTTGTGGATAGCTTAGAGGAAACGAGCAGACCCGAGGTCATTATTTTGCAATGACTCACTTAAGGTGGAACAAAATGCCATGTATGCCCAACCCTGGGACTCAGGCCGTAGTAACATGTCTTCCTGATTGCGCGCAGCCACGTGTGGTGCTTTCATTATGACTAGATGCACTGTTGTCTATGTAATTTGTTTTAGCCCCACCTTGGAAGCATCTTTGGGTAGTTCACATATTTGGCACATGAGAATCTTACTGCTGTGTGCGTATGTAGAATACCCACCAGGTCACCAAAAAAGTCACATTTACTTTCCCCAAACTGACATTTTCCACATCTCAGAAAGCGCTGTTAATGCAATCATCAATAATTATTTTTGTGTTATGCCAATAAATAGAAAATGAGTGTTTAAATTCATTTTTACTACAGTATGGGCTTAGTAATCAAGTTTTTAGTATAACAATAAAAACCATAAATGATCAAAGGAGCATGAAGGAAGCATAATTAACTAATGCCTAAATTATTTTTTTTTAAATTTTCTCCCACACACTATTGGAGAAGTTAATTCAAATCGAGGTGTTTGATGTCACATGCTATAATGTTATATCCCAAATAATTCTTTTAGCAAATGTATGTAAAATCATTTAGACTTAGACTCTTGCCATTTCACCCTTTCCCTGAGTTACAGTACAGTGAACATCCCCCTGCACAGAGCTGGTGTCACTGACTGAGTCACTTAATTTCTTGTGATAACTTCTGATATGTGTGGCCACCAGGCTTGGTAAGCATTGACGAGTACTGGCAAATATCATGGTGGCTAATGTGACTGTTAGCGCTGGAGGTGGATTCCACACCGGCCGCTGCTTCGCAGGGTTGCACTGTGTGGTTTGCGAGGAGACGCGATATGCAGCTTGGTACTGTAGGCGCGTCTATTACCACTTAGCTTCCCTTTTAATTCTTGCTGGCAGAGTGGTTGTCACTTCAGCATTAAAACATGGTGACAAATTGTGAAGAAAATGGAGTTCATTCTAAAATGTTCATGTGTACATTCTTATTAGAAAAATATATAAGCAAATGCAATATAAATACTACAAATAGGAAAACATATTATTTGTATCTGCATGCTTGAGAGGAATACATATGGTTTAAATGAGTACAGTAGATGCAATCTTGAGTACTGCAGAAAATGTACATAACTGTTTCCCCTCATCCAACTATGCAGACTCATTTGAATAACTTAAATTTCAGTTCTTTTCTGTTGGTTTCCACAGAGTCCTTCTAGAACCCATGTCCTCCATCTTAACCTTCTCTGCTGTGCTTTTCTAGCCTTTGTTTCTTTCATTATCTTTCATTTCTAGGAGACACAGTCTCACAGCAAGCTTCCTGTTCTGCTGGCTCTTTCGTTCTTTCTGCTCCTCCTCCACAATGAACTCTGAGTGCAGAAGCTGTGTTTTAGATGTATTAGTTGGGACTCCCCCCACAACTCTGAATTTCAATCATTCCCGGTTTTCTAACAAGCTAAGTTTCCTTGATGAGGGGTGAAAACTGCTACATTTTATATTTATCTATGAGCATAGGATAAATATTTGGAATATAGTTAGGGCTTCTTCTGGTTTGGTAAAGTGGCAGTTTTAAATTCTCCCCCAATAGCCATGACTTTAGCTGCAGGTAGCTGACTAGGTTTCAGTACCAGGAATGATCTCTCTCAGGTTGAGAGAGCTGTCAGTCAAATTAGAGAGCGGTTGTTTACTGACAGGGTATGCCGGCCACGGCCACTGCTGCACCCTTAGGATATCTTGCCATGCTGGTTGCTGAAGTGGTTTATTGGCCGCACAGCTGGATAAGATCGTTGGTTGATTCCCTCCTTTGAAAGCCTGCATGGTAACTTCTGGTACCATGCGGGCTAGCCCCTGGGAAAGGAGGCTTTTGGGTTAGCTTCATCTTGGGTCCTCTGTCTGAGGTGCCTGGTATTCTCATTTTTTTCTCCCATTCTATAGCCATTTGCTTTTTCATCTATCCTGCTTGTGGTTTTTGTGGTTTGTTTAAAAATGTCATTACCAGTGGCGGTTACCTCTTGGCGTTGGCAATGTTCTGTAAAAATCCAGCTAAACCAGAAGTCTAGAAAGTTGTAAGTGTTCTTAAAACTATATATTTCTATATATTGCTCTGGAAACTCTAATTCTGACAGTCCCTTCTGAAATTTAAACACTTAAGTAGGTGCCACTTCCCAGAGGATGTTACTATTTTTGGTTGGTATAGATGGCAGATTAGAGTATTTCCCATTGAGATCTTGTAGAAAAAGTAGACATACCTCCCACTGAAATGTGTAACAAAGACCGTAAGTTAGACTTTATAGGCGGTTAGCCTTCACCTTGCCGTGAAAGACCTGTCCATCTGTCTCATGGGCCCGTCAGTATTGCCTTGTGCATCTGACCTATGTCTGGACCACAGGTGTTAGGTAGGGGATTGTGTGTACTTGCACATGAGATACCCTGGAAAGCTGATTGAACTCAACAAAAATCACGTGCTACAAATTTGATGGCTGACATTTTGAAATTACTTGAATTTATACTTTGTACCAAAATTGTACAAATTTGTCCAACACAAATGCATGTATGATACCTTTGGCTAAAACTGGTCATACAATAATTTGAGAAATGTGGTTTGTATAAGTTGATAGTGCTTGACAGAATATGTAATGTGCCTGTTCATATAAATTACCTTGTATGTAAGTATTTTAATCACATGCTTTATGTGAGTCCATTAACTGAATAAGCATGATATAAAAAGTTAGTGAGTGGTATGAATCAATTTAGTTTAATAGTTTACCTCTTTAATGGATATCTTGTTCTAGAATGTTCATTTTTACCTTTTTTTTTAAATAGGTGATTGGAGATGCAATTGCTGCCTATACAAAAAATGAACGAATTAATTGGGTAAGAGATTGGCCTGGGCAGACTGTTCTCTGCGTATCCCAAACCTTTTGGACATTAGAAGTCCAAGGCTCAATGGCAAAGGGGCAAGAGGTAAGCTTTTATTACACACTTTTCAGAATTTAGAGAATAGCGGTAATACCCAGAATACACTCACCCTGAAGTACAAACTGAAGATAGCCCATTCAAAAGGATACTTTTTGCTGCAAGCCAAGTTACAGGTTTTAAAAATAAAATATATTAAAAATACATTATTATTCAAGATTTATATCTGAACCAATTTCATTATTCACATCCTGTCAGAATCAAGGGTGCTTAGCTCTCAGTCTTGTTTGCACATTGTTCTTCCTTTATGACTAGAGTCGTCATAGAACCAAGAAAGTTACAAATCTCAGAAATATTGGGTGGGTATAGAATAATAGAATTTTCTTTTGTTCCCTGAGTTAAATTATGCTGAATAGAAAAAACATCAGTTCACTTATTTTGACCATTTTTATTTTTAATGTACTGATTTTGAATAAGTGAATATTTTAAGTTCTGCTTAATACAAATACCTCAAATATATTTGAGCATATGGTTTTAACATTATTTGGATGGCTGCTATTAATTAAAAAAATAAAAGTATATATTAGTTTTAATGTGTTGCTCCTTTTTGAGACTGAAGGAATGTTGAACATTCTTCGCTCATCATAGATACTGTGAATGTCCACATCATTCCAGGCTTTTTGTTGAACACTGACTCAACTAGGAACGAGTTGGAGTGAAAATTTCCCCCTTCTCATGTAAATTCACTTTATTAACTTTCATTTGTCTTTGATCTTTGGGGAATATCTGCAAACATAAAGAAAACCTCTTTGGTATTTTTTTTTATGTTTACAAAAACATTTTTATTTACAAGCATGCATATGACTAAGTGTACATTACATGTTAGTACAGAGCCCGCAGAGTCCAGAAGAATACCAGGCTCCCTGGAGCTGGAATTACAGGCAGATGTGAGCTGTCTGATGTGGGTGTTGAGAAACAAACTCAGGTCCTCTGAGAACGCCAGCAAGTATTCTTTTTTTTTTTTTTATTTAAAAAATTATTACAATTTATTCACTTTGTATCCCAGCTGTAGCTCCCTCCCTTCCTCTTCTCCCATGCCCCTCCCCAAGTTCACTGATAAGGGAGGTCCTCCTCCCCTTCCATCTGACCCTAGCCTATCAGGTCTCATCAGGACTGGCTGCTTTGTCCTCCTCTGTGGCCTGATAAGGCTGCTCCCCCATTGGTTGGAGGTGATCAGAGAGGAGCCACTGAGTTTATGTCAGAGACAGTCCCTGTTCCCATTACTCGGGAACCCACTTGGGTACTGACCTGCCATGGGCTACATCTGAGCAGGGGCTCTAGCTTATATCCATGAATTGTCCTTGGTTGGAGTATCAGTCTCAGAAAAGACCCCTGGGCCAAGATTTTTTGGTTCTGTTGCTCTCCTTGTGGAGCTCCTGTTCCCTCCAGGTCTTTCTATCTCTTCCTTCTTTCATAAGATTCCCTGCACTCTGTCCAAAGTTTGGCTATGAGTCTCAGCATCTGTTTCAGTACCCTGCTGGGTAGAGTCTTTCAGAGGCCCTCTATGGTAGGCTCCTGTCATGTTCCCTGTTTCTCCCTCTTCTAATATCTATCCTATTTGCCTTTCTGAATGAGCATTGATCATCTTACCCAGGGTTCTCCTTCTTGCTTATCTTCTTTAGGTGGACAGATTTTAGTATAATTATCCACAGTCACCTTGATACCTAACCCTCACAAAGACCCAACAAAGAAAGAGAATTTCAGGCCGATCTCCCTTATGAACATTGATGCAAAAATACTCAAAATACTCACAAGCTGAATCCAAAAACACATCAAAGATATCATCCACTATGACCAAATAAGCTTCATCCCAGGTATGCAGGGGTGGTTCAATATACAGAAATCTATCAATGTGATCCACCATATAAACAAACTGAAAGAAAAAAAAAAAACACATAATCATTTCCTTAGATGCTGAAAAGCATTTGATAAAATCCAACACTCATTCATGTTTAAAGTCTTAGAGAGATCAGGGATACAAGGCACATATCTAAACATAGTAAAGGCAATATACAGCAAGCCTATAGCCAACATCAAACTAAACAGAAACTTAAGTCAATCCTACTGAAATCAGGGACAAGGCAAGGCTGCCCACTCTCTCTTTCTCTCTTCAACATAGTTCTTGAAGTCCTTGCCAGAGCGATAAGACAAATAAAGGACATCAAGGGGACTCTTTGGTGTGTTTTAATCTGCATACTCTACTTGAAAATTTGAGACATTCTGCAAGTTAGAAATCTCATCCAGTGTTGGAAACTTTAAAGAGTCATAGTATTGTTGGTTTGTTTGTTTGTTTCAGCAATACTATAATAAAGTGTGTATCAGGCCACTCAACATTTTAGAGCTCTTTCTGGTTCTTGTAAATTTAATTGGGCAATTTTTTTTTAACCCATCAAGTTCATTTCATGTTGCCTGACTACTTCTGGGTGTGAGACTACTTCTGACTGCTCTGGAGTGTGAGCTGTACACCAGGTGTCACACCACGGAAGAGAGCTGACTCTCCCTCTGCAAGCAGCATTCAAACGCCAATAGCTTCTTGGCTAGGGGTGTGGACTCTGTGCCCACCTCCATTTACCCGTGCTGAGATTTTGTCTGCCCTTTCTTCCACACAGATGCCTAAGCCGCGCACACATGCATCCATGAGGGTGTGCATGTGATAGAGACATTCCATGTAGGCCGAACACTTTAGAAGCTCCCACTCTGTGCGTGCCGACCAGTTGTGGGTCTCTGTGTTAATTACCATCTACTGCGAGGAGCAGCTCCTCTGATGAGGGCTGAGCGATGCACCGATCTATGGGCATAGCAAGTAGGTCAATAGGAGTCACTATATCGCAATGCCCATTTAGAAAAATGATAGTACTAGGTTTTCCCCCAGGGCCTGTGACCTGCCTAGCTATAGGTAGTGGCCTCATTAAAAGTTCAAGGCCTGGGCTTCATCTCATAGGCATACCTTAGTGAATAAGACACTCTTCTTATGTTCGAAGTAGGAGTTCAAGTAAGCCAACTCGTAATTGACCAATGGATCAACTGGAATTTGGTAGTTACTGATCCTTACTTTAAAGCAATGAATTTTAAATATATTTTTTTGATGAGGAAGTTGATAGGACTTTAAGGTGCTGTTGATAATTAAGTAAGTGTTGAAACTTGAGAGAACTGCTTGTTCTCTTAGGGTAGGCAGATTCCAACGAGGTAGGACTGAGTTGCACATGTGTAAGTCATTCTACCTCATCAACATTGTCACTTGATTTTCTGCAGGAAGGAGAAAGTACATGATTATAGATCAAGGGTTTTCAGGTGCCAGAATAGCAGGGCATGGAGTTTCCGTGACAGTGTGAGCATGCAGGGTCCCTAGATGTCTCTACCATGTACCTTTACTATTCTCTGTGTTGATAATTTTCTCCTAACAGAGGAGTGGTTCACATTTGGAACTGATGACTTGGTTGAGTGGCAGAAGCAAACACCTAGAGTTTCCTGGAGCTTAAGACCACGACCGCTTCCTACACTGATGCACACAGAGCACACGCTCCCCTCAGAATTTGTGTTTCCATTTTCCTATTCAATAAGTGCTGGTTGTGAAACGGGGACTGTGGGAGATATCACAGGGTCCATAAAATAACTGGAAGTAATGTCACGGTTGTAGCGTTCTGGATACTGAAAGTGAATGCGATTTTGAGTTAGCTTTTGGGCTAGAAAGGTAGAAGGCTCTAGACATGAGAAAAATAATCAGTTCCAGATAACACTGTGGTAGCTACCTTTAGCTCGTCTGGCTCACTAGAAGAATGTTCACTAGGAATAAAATGTGATAAAAACATTATATAATTTTTCCAGTTTAATTAGATTCTCCTTGATTTATACAATATAATTCCAAAACAGCTTAGCTTTAACATTTTGGAGCCAAATTTCAGTTCTAACATCATTGTTCTATTGCAGGAAAATGCATTTTCCCAGGACAGATAAATTTCTGTGGGTGTGCAGTTAGTATGTGCAGCCAATATGTCCAGATGTTAATTTTTTATCTTGTTGTGATTGAATGTGAAGGCTGGCGGGGAGGCTGAGAGGTGCTGAGCTGTGCTGATGAAAGGATAAGCGTGCGCTGTGTGTTACTCTCTGACCCCAAACTAGCGTCACCCCTAAATACAGTGAAGTTCATAAATTTAAACACTTATGTGGCTAGACATGGATGGAACAGAAGTTAAGTTTTTATTACTTAAGAAGCAAATTACTGGCAAATCACTCATGTACATAATAGAAATGAAATGGTGTTTAAGCCCCACAAGTGCCCGAATAAAGAGCTTTCGGAAAAGTAATAATTAAAGAAGTAAAACCTTCAAGGAAGGCGTGTCTTGTCCCCTGTGTGGTTCTCCCTAACTGTTCACTTCCTTAGAAGCTGGTTTGTTGGTTTTATCATTGCCTCATATAAACAGAACTGAAATAAACTTCCTGGCATTTATTAAAAAGTATAAGAGCCAAGAAACTGGCTACTCAGTTTCTAACCAGGAGAATCTAATTAAACAGTTACCTTAAACACAATATTTTTCATTGATTTTAATTTGCTTTCATCACAAATCCTCTTCCAGTTCTGAGTTTTCTCATCTACTGAGAGACTTCAAAGCAAGCCTGTTCCTTAGAACTTACCTTAGCTTGATATAAACCAAATCATTTGGCATTATTTATTATTATTATTATCATCATTATTATTATTTCTTTGCTCCTTTTTGTTGCTCTAAGAAAATACCAGAAGGTAGCTACTTCATACAGAAAAGAGGAATACTTCTATTACATCTGTAGGCTGCAAGTCCAAGATTTAAGCATCCCTGCCTGGTTTTGGACTCTGTTGAGGGCCTCCTGGTTACATCTCAACATGGTGGATGGTACCATGGCTAGATAGTCACTAGAGAAAGACATATAGTATGAGAGGAAGAGCAGCGACTGACAAAGGGCCAACTTCCCTATTAACAACTGTGTCAGCATTCCATCACTGTGACAGAATGCCTGAGATAGTCAACTTAGAGGAAGATAGATTTATTTTGGTTCATGGAAAAAAAAAAAAAAGGACAGGGAAAGAAAGAAAAGCAGGAAAAGAAAGAAAGAGAGAGAGAATTAAAAGGGAAGAGAAAAAGAAGAGGAAGGATCCACTGGACCTCTAAGGACACACCCCATCGGCCTACTTCAATAAGGTCCACCCCCTGACGTTTCCCGCACCTCCCAGCAATGCCATCACCAACAACCAAGCCCTTTGGGGGACACTTCATATCCAAAACAGAGTACAACCCATTCTCATTGGGAGCGAATCCAGCTCCATGAAACTCACCAAATCCCCCCACGGGTGATGTGCACGACCTGGTTACAGTCCACAGGCCCTGTTTCTTACAGCTGCCACCAGCGCAGTACTGCCACACTGAAGGTCAAGCTCCCGGCACAGGAACTGTCAAGGGACACATGAAAAGCATATTTAAGCCTTAACAGCACTGATATTTCAAACCTCATGTAGCAAGCTTATGGAAAAATGCTCGGAGGACTCATGAGAGCAAAGGGAAAATTGGTGTCCTGAGTGTCTCAGGGTTTCATCGCTTTCTGGTGCCACTTTCTCTGTCTGTCTCTGCTCTGCTCTCTAGAGATCTCTGTTAGGAGGGTAATGTTTTCTGTAGCTTAGACCCACAGACTCACAGTTGACAAAGTCTAGGGAAAAACACTTTGTTGAGCCCTTGGGGAGAGCCAGGGTTGGCTCTGACTAGGTCTCTCTCCCGCCCTCATGTCCCATACAGATGGGGTAATAAGATTGACAGCTCCAACATAACCACAGAGAACAAAAGAGGGGTAGAAAAAAGAGAGGCTGCCATGAGCCACATTTGCCCTCTGTGTCTGCCCTATAGGTTTGTTTACTTAAAACCTTGTTGTAAGGAAAATAGATTATTTTTAAATTACATAGAAATTATGATAAAATGCAGAGGATATCTCCTACACGTGAGGATATATATCTATATATGAGAAAAGCACACACACACGCTCATATATATATATATATATTTACATTGCATAAATATACTAGTTCAAAATGTTTTGTTCACAATGATTCTGATTGCACTGGGAAATTATATCGTATTTTTTTTTTCAGGCCCTTGAGCAATACTTGGAGAAATGTAATCATCAAATTGATGACATTGTCACGTTGGTCCGTGGCAAATTGTCCAAGCAGAACCGTGTTACCCTGGGAGCCCTTGTGGTATTGGACGTTCATGCTAGAGATGTCCTTGCAAACCTTGTAAAGAAAAAAATCAGCGATGACAGCGACTTCGAGTGGTTAAGTCAGCTTAGGTACTACTGGCAAGTAAGTGGCCTCACACAGCAGTTTTAGCTCAGAGCTTTTAAAGGCACTCTTGCCTGCTCAGCTGTGTAACAGGGCCAGTAATTCAGGATTTTGTTGTTTTGCTGATGACTTCCTATATAAGATTATCCAGAAAATTAAGGCGGCCAGTAACTATTCTATTATCATCAGTATCTATATTTACATACCTCCATTTATATCCAAATGTATGATTATATATTAACATATGTGTCCAGTTTCAATGCATTATTATGCAATTTACAAAATGTTGGGGTTAGTCGGCTTAAAATTGTGTGTTTCCATTTCTGATGGACCTAAGTGAGGTTATGAGTCAGAAGTCCCTGGTCTGGTTTAGTGATTAAAGAACCCAGAAACATTTTCCACAAGGAAGGAATTTTTCAGGCCGTCTGGGTGGATGGTGATGCTAGTCATGGCTGCGAAGGGAGGAGGGGCAGAGACAGTTATGGCGGCAGCGTGCTAAGCGTGGGAGAGGCGGGGGTCCAGCAGTTCTCAGGATTCCATGCAAGTCTTGGAAGGTATGTGCGGGAGACAGCACCCTCTGAGCCTTTTCAGGGCCGTGCCATTCGGTGGGAGGAGCGTGGGTGATGGAATCCTCGTTTCAGAAGCCAGCTCTCTCCTCATTAGATTATAAACAACGTGCTTAGCTCAGCCGGCACCGGGGTCCTCGGCTGTGGAACTGTGGCGGGGTTCGTGGTGGTCTGAAGGAAAATGGCCGCCATGTACTCACGGGGAATGGCGCTGTTACATGTGGCCTCGTTGGATGAAGCGTGTCACTGGGCTGTGAGGTCTCAGACGCTCACGCCAGGCCCAGTGCTGCTTTCCTTCCCGCTGTTTGACGAGCCATACGCAGGACTCTCAGCTACCTCTGCACATGCCAGTGTGTTGCCATGTTTCCTGCCATGACAATAATGGACTAAACCTCTGTAAGCCAGCCCCAGTTAAATGTTCTTCTTTATAAGGGTTGCTGTGGTCATAGTGTCTCTGCACAGCAATAAAAGCCTAACTAAGACAGTGGTGGTACTCCATAGTGAAGAAAACAAGGAATACTAATACGGAAGAGAAAGGGGACATGTTTTAAAATATTCTATGGAAAACATGGAAGCCATTGACTTCTATTATTCATCCAGGAAACTAGCTATGGAATTCTTCCTGTAAGAGAACTGATGTCTGAAAGATTGTTCTAAACAAATGCGCTGTGGATATTCCTTATTAAAGATCTTGTCATTTCTTGTTGTTTGCAATTTTGCTTTCTAACCAATTCCATATTTTTCTAATTGATCCTAGGAAAATCAGTTAGAAACAAAGATGATCAATGCTGGTTTGCGATACGGCTATGAATATCTGGGCAATTCCCCTAGACTAGTTATAACCCCACTCACAGACCGCTGCTACAGGTAAACAGTGCCATTCAAAGTTGGGGGGACAATAACCTCACACACACACACACACACACACCCTAGACCAATGATAAAGTTAAAGGTAATTAACTGAGTTATAGTTGATTCTTTTTACCTCGCAATCTCCACATGTATTCTGTGTGGTTTCCCAGCCCCTTAAGTCTCCTCTCAAATTTCATTTTCTCCTTCTCTGCTGGTTTCTCCTTTTCATCTCCGCGATCACAGTATTCTTAGGAACGGCAGTGGTTAGCACTTTCTATCCCCCCCCCCATTTCTTCTGTCTTCCTCAACATCTCTGGCTTCTTTTTAGATCATTTGAGATTTTTTTTTCCCCTGAAATGGTGAATTTTCTAGAGTTCTGTGTCCATATCCCATGATTTCCAGACTGTTTACATCCAAACCTTAATCACTTGTGTCCTAAAGAACTGTGTGTGGAGCTCTCTCCCACAGTGCACACGCCTGCTGGGTATCTCTTTTGAGAGCTCAGAGGTACTTCACACTTACACTTTATTCCCAGTGCAAATTAGCTACTTTATGTATTAAGCTTTCTTTGCCTCCCAGATTGTACATCTCAGAAGACAGCAATAAACATACATTATAGTTTTATTCTATTCACTCCCCTCTGTTGTCTCTTCCCAGACCTACCCCCGTTCCATATCTACCAAACTTCGTGTCCTCTCATTTACTCTTTTCAGTCTGTCAGTCTCAGTTGGTGCTGTCATGTCCTCTTGGGTGTGTTGGCGTCCCCTGGAATGTGTTTGGCCTACCAGGATAACATCCCTAGAAAGCAAACACTGCCTCTCCCATAGTGCCCCATGTAGAGGTGGGACTCTGTGCCACCTCCTCTCTCTGTGCTGAGAGTCTGTCTGACCTGAGCTTGCACAGGTCTTGTGCATCCTGTTATCATCAATGTTAGTTCTTCCATACAACTTCCCTGTTGAATCCCCCGTCACACACTGTTTCTTCCTCTGTCTTACTTCTCACAGCGGGTTGAGGCATGCTTGCTATACTTTATATTTTTTATTGGACTTTTTCGTGGAAAAGACTACATGCTATTTTTACCTTGTCTCCAACAGAACCACATTTTCTGGGATAAAGGATTAAATAAAGAATACTGGGCTGCCATTTTAAAATGCATGCTTAGAGGATACTCAGAATTGTGAATGCTCTTGGAGAACATACTGACTTCTTACTGGTTTGCTTATGAATTATGATGACTTTCAGGTAGAGCATAGTGCTGATTTCAGAGTCTCCTTATAGGCTGGGTCATAAATTTCATCTACTCATTCAAGACACAAGCTATATACTCTGTTAGCATAGAGCAAAGATGGAGTATATACATGCCTTTTCCATTCTATGTCAAAATGAATATGACTAGAAAACAATATAGCACACCGTTTCATTATCTGGTAATAATAACCTTGGCAGAACATAGGATAAATAAAAATATGCTATTGTTTGCAGCTTCATAAAAGAAAAAGACATAGATTGTGTCACTCAAGTGTTTTCTCATCAAGTGGGAAAGCTAGATTAGAAAACAGCTGCAGTAAAGTGTCCTGAGTGGGGTACTAGAGGGAAGCAGGAGGTGCCATGGGCGTGTCACCCGGATGGGAACAGAGCTCACAGGAGAGTCCCTTTGAGTGTGCTAGGGAAGATCTGAGTGGAGGTGATCTGTTACATGGTAAGTGGATTAGGTCACATGGAAAGAAAAGGACTCTCTGTTCTTCACTAGTGACTTTAATCCACTTACATTTAATATGATAAGCAAACTATTTGGATTCATTAAAATAATTGTATGTTTTATATCCCCAGAGCCTTAATTCACTTATTTTATAGTAGTCAGTATAACTAAATACTATTTTAATCATTATCTTTATGTCTGTTATGTTTTTAAGGATCTTTCTCTTGGTTATTAATGATCACTCTAATGTTACTAGTAGTTTTTTTTTATGTTACTTGGGATTTTTCTTTTTTTTTTTTCTGTTCATGTCTTTCTTTCATTCTGGAAAGTTCTCAGTCATTGGCATTTAAATGTTGTCTCTTCACCATTTTCTCCCTTATTTATTCTGTGCCCTTTACTTTTTTTTGTATTTGATCTCTAACTCTCTGGGTAATTCCCTCATATTTATCTCCTAACATATAATTTTATTTCCTTATGTTTATTCTGATATTTAACCTTTCACTGAGTTTTCAAGAGTTTATTGGATATACTTTTACTGTAGAATTTCAAGTTATCTCTTTTATAAAATTGACCTCTGCCTCAGAGAAAAAGATGGATATATACACACAGAGAGAGACAGAGAGGAGCGGGGAGAGATTGATAGATTCTGACCGCTGGGAACCGAAGAGGGCCAGACAGGATGCTCTGTGAGTGGTAACCCTCACAGGTCTCTGTTCATCTGCTGCTCCTGCTGTATGTCTGCCTCAACAGCTATCTTCCCTTCCAGTTTTCACTGTGAGCATGACTTGGTAAGGGAGGCTGCCCCCTGCTGCCTTTGAAGATGTTGGTTGTGGACACAGCCACGGTTTGTTTCACCTCTGAGGAAGGCTTAAGGGTTTTCTCAGGTTCAGAAAAAACAAACAAACAAACAAACAAACAAACAAACAAAAACCTTCCCCTTAGTTTTGGCTCATAAGCAATGAGAAATGGACATCTGACCCAGTGCCACCTTGAGGAGCAGTACAGGCCTGTTACCCAGACCACCCTCCATGAAAGCTGAGATTGTGGGCTTCCTGTCCCTTCTCTGCTTGCCCTCCTTGTCCTCCTGGTGGCTGGTGGAGGAAATGTGGTTTCTGTTAGAGACAAAGCACCATTTCAAACTTCCATGAAAGGTACAAAGAGGTGAATCCATCCCACTTCCCCTTCCTTCTTGCTCAATCATGATGATTTCATATCTGTGCTGCCAAAATTATACACATGCAAATAATATGTATCTCTCCAGATTTGCACATAATCATGTCTCAACCATTGAATCCCCTTACTGAAGACACCTTTTATTCTTTAAGTGATTGCTATGGGCTTTAAAATTATTTTCTTCCATGTGACATTTCTATACTCTTCTAATAATGTCGGGCATTCACAGGGTCAGCTGAATTCTCCACATTAACCAGAATTCAGGATTGAATTCCAAAAGTACATTTGTTCTAAATTTTTATGTATACAAATATGTATATGCACATGCATTCTACCTGTCTGCCTGCCTACCCATCCATCCATCCATCCATTTATCCATCTGTCCACCCACACATCCACCCATCTGTCCAGTCATTTGCCCATCCATCTATCTGTCCATCCATCCATTGATCCATCCACCTACTCACCTATCTACCCACCTATCTCCCCTTCCTTCCTTCCTTCCTTCCTTCCTTCCTTCCTTCCTTCCTTCCTTCCTTCCTTCCTTCCTTCCTTCCTCTTTCTTTCTTTCTTTCTTTCTCTCTCTCTCTCTCTTTCTTTCTTTCTTTCTTTCTTCTATCTCTATCTATCTATCAATCATCTATCTACTCTTCGAAGTAAAACTGATAACAAAGTAATGTGCTGACAGATTTTCTGAGGTTAGCAGGAAGGAAGAAATCATGAAAGAGGAGGTGGCATTTAGGATTCAACTTAATCTTTGATTTTGATGTTTATGATTCTTTGTACTTATTTTATGCTAGGACCTTATTTGGAGCCCTTCACCTGCACCTTGGAGGAGCACCTGAGGGTCCAGCTGGCACTGGAAAGACAGAAACCACCAAGGATTTAGCAAAAGCTGTGGCCAAACAGTGTGTCGTTTTCAACTGCTCCGATGGGCTGGATTATTTGGCTTTAGGAAAGTTCTTTAAGGTTTGTAGTGATTCCTCCTTTCTTTTCAGTAGGGTAGTTGATCAGAGATGAAAAGGGAGCTACAGAGAGACACAAGAGAATGCCAGCAGAAGCTCTACTGTGCCTTGTAAAGGTAAAAATTACACGTCTCAGCGAGTCTCAAGGACAAGTGAGCTCGGCCTCCCTCCTGGCCCTGCGGTGGAGGTCACCCTGCCTCATTGGTCCTGATGGGGTCTTAGACTTAGGAATGTTATTTGGCTGTTTGGGCACTCTAACCACAGAGCAGTCTCTCTGGCCACAGAAGTCAGATTGCACAGAGGGTTATTACAACTCATTCTGAAAGAAAGAAAGAAAGAAAGAAAGAAAGGAAAGAAAGAAAGAAAGAAAGAAAGAAAGAAAGAAAGAAAGAAGAAAGAAAGAAGAAAGAAAAAGGCTGTGGTGTGGAATTCCAAAGATATTTTTAACCTGTGTGCTGATTTATCAATAAGTTTCAAAATTCATTAATTTACTATTACAGACACCTCTTAGATTTTCTGCTTTGGAAGCATGTAACTCTTCTTTTATTTTTTTAATAGTGTGCATATGTGTCCATACATGTGCCTGCGTGTGTTTGTGAGTGTGCATGCTTCTCAATTACATTCCACTTTGTTTCCCACTGGTTTAGAGCATGCCAAATAGGCTAGTCTGGGTAGCCAGTGAGTCCCACTGAACGGTCTGGCTCTGCCTCCCAGCACTGAGATGGTAAGAGTGTATCACTATGCCTAGCCTTTTCCTGTGGGTGCCAGGGATTGAACTCACATTATCATGTTTGTGTGGGTGCTGGGGATTGAACTCACATTCTAATGTTTGTGTGTCAAGCATTTTTACCAATTGAGCTACCTCCCCAGACCCAAAAGACATGGCCCCCCCAGACCCAAAAGACAGGGCCCCTGGCTGACTACACACCTCCCTGTTCACCATGTCTTTTCGTATTTGGTTGTTTTGTTTGTTTTTGTTGTTGTTTTTGTGACAGGGTTTCTCTGTATCCTGGACTCTCTTTGTAGATCAGGCTGGCCTTGAACTCGAGATCTGTCTACCTCTGCTGCTGCCTCTGGAGTGCTTAATTATCCAGATCTGTCAGATTCTAGAGGTCTGTAAGATTTTGAAAAGGGAAATCAAAGTTGTGAAGTGCCTGCTTGGAAGCCACTTGAGTAGCTTGTTTCTAGAGGCTGTAGTTCCTGAACATGCTAGGTGGAGCTGCTGAGCACAGAATCATCTGTTCCGGATCGTGGACTCTGCATTTTTTCCCCTTCCTTCCTTCCTTCCTTCCTTCCTTCCTTCCTTCCTTCCTTCCTTCCTTCCTTCCTTCCTTCCTTCTTTCTTTTTGTTCTGTGATTTTCCAAATGCAGTTTAACTATTCTGTACTATCTTCTTTTAAATTTTTTCTTCAGCAAAATTAACAATTTCAAAATCTAAACTAACAAAAATATATTATTCTTATCCAATACAGTGAACTGTTTACTTGAGTGATACCCAGTGGTCACTACTAACAATTTTACATTTGTGATGTTGAAACAGAGTGGGAGTTTTTTAAGGAAGTCAAATAATAAATAAAACAATAGGAAAACATGAGAATGACATTTAATTTGTCTTTAATGTCATCTAAACTTGCCACAATGACTAAGAAATAAATGGCAAAGTGAGAAAGTCCTAAATATGGTTTGAATAAATAGTACATTCCGATGTGTTTAAAGCAATGCCTGTCTTCTTTATCATAATAGAATAGCTTTAGATTGATCTATTTCAATAGAACTAAATTTGCTTATTGGTAAACATGAATTGATTGTACAGATATACTTTTGATGTGATGTTCATGCTGAACAGTGGAAGTACAAATAAAGGTTTAATTTATACTATTAAAAACCTCATAATCATTCAGTCATTATTTTTTAAAATATCACAATTTACATATTTGCATATATAATGTTAAACAGCCTGTTTTCTGTGACAACTAAACCTTTTATTGTATTATTCATTGAAAATCAAAGTAATGGGTAGTGTGTTCTCTGAAGACTTGCCAATCTTTGATGTGCATGGAGTTGAGCACTTATCTGTGAGGTAGTCCTTTCTTAGCATTATAAATTGGGCCTTGAATGTTAGTTGGCTATTTGGGTATTCTGATTACAAAGCAGTCTGTCTGGTAACAGAAGTCATGTTGCATAGAGGATTATTACAACCCATTCTTTTAAAACAAATAAAATCAACTTGTAAATAAAAAGTAAAGGCCTGGAAATTATAGGTGAACCTCTAAATGCCTAAAGATATACACAGAGTGAAGGCAATAAATTGGAAAGTTTTCCAGTTGATCAAACTCTTTATGCACCTAGAATAATGAATTGGTAATGAAAAAATGAGCTGTCTTTAAAGATAAAAGTGAATAAGCAATTTCCTTGATAGGATATTAAATCCCTGAAAAGATCAGGTGAAAAATGCATCATTTCAATGTAATATTCAATCAGATAAAGTTGAAAAATTTTATTATTCTTTCCTCCCAGGGACTGTTATCTTGTGGAGCCTGGGCTTGCTTTGATGAGTTTAACAGAATTGATTTGGAAGTACTTTCTGTGGTTGCTCAACAAATCCTTACTATCCAAAGAGGTAACGAGCCTCTCTGGCTATACAGCATGTGAAAACAGCAGAACTGGGGGTGGACAGTGGGCAGCGAATGGCACATGCTGTGGCACTGCTAAGTCATGGAACTTTTGATTACCACAGGTATTAACGCAGGCACTGAGCTTCTGGTGTTTGAAGGGACAGAGCTAAAACTTGACCCCACGTGCGCGGTCTTTATAACAATGAACCCTGGCTATGCCGGGCGGTCAGAGCTGCCGGACAATCTGAAGGTATGGCGGGTGTAATTATAACATCGGTTTCTTTTGTCGACTTGCGAATGAAAAAAAAAAGAAAAAAAAAGAGAATGTGTGATCCTAGGATTGCATTTTTAAACATCTGCTTTTAGGCATACCATTTGGGGAAAGTATTCTAGAAGATAATGTTTAAAGCTTCAAATACTTTTGCAAAATAAATATGGAGAACAGGTACAACTCTAAAATTTTATAGTTTTAAAATAATATTGATTATAGAAATGAGAAAAGACATAAGATGCCCAGTATTTTTTATTGTAGTCTATCTTTTCAGTTCAATATTCATTTTTAAAGAGTTCAAATCCAACAACTGTGCATAAGTGGTGGGTTTTTTTACAGTTCATTTAAATTCACGATGACCATTGTCCCAGCTTTGTAGACATGATACAGACTGTAAGTAGGATTACTGAGCTGTCTTTCTGATGGACATTTAGATTGCTTTCAGTTTCTACACTATCAATAGCACCACAAAAGGCTGTCGGCTGAAGGCTTCTCTGTTGGAAGATTCTCATAGCAGAATCACCTTCCACACAGGCTGAAAACATCGACCTCCCATATCGAGTCTCAGCCCTTGTTAATACACGGCACTCATATTTTTGTGTGTGTGTTTAATTTATAAGGGAAAAAACACTGTCCTAACTGAATGGAGCAAAACTTGTATTTACAAAAAGTATCTTTTCAAATATTAGTAAAATATGTTGTTTTCTCCATATATTTGTTCTACTTTTTATATTCTTCCATGGTGAACTGCATGTTTATGGATTGTGCGTAAAAAACAGTGTATTCTAGAGAACAGTACATTAACAATTGTAGGCTCAAACCTAAGTTTTCTAACTAAAACCTACGTGCCTTCTACTGGCCACTGCTGCCCACAATCATTCCAACCGCCACCAGTTTTAATGTACTTCTGCTTTATGCCCTTTCCGTGGTTAATCACTTTGCCTTAGTGAAGGAAGGAATGACTTCAATATGAGAAGTGAGGGCTGAAGAGATTGTTCAGTGGGTAAATGCTCCTGCCTCCAAGCCCAAGAGCCTGAGACTGAGACTAGGACCTGAATATAGGAGAGCACTGACTCGGTGAACCCTGACTGACACATGCAGATTGCAGCATGCATGCCCTCCCTGATAAGTAAATAGAATAAAATTTAAGAGAGGAAAGCGGTAAATCCTTTATCTAAGAAGCTCTTTGTGATTTGCAGTTTTATTCTGAAAAGCTTTCTCTGCAGCTGTTTTATTCCACATTTCTATGGAGTGGGATCCACCTGAACGCATAGTCATAAAAGCAGGGAGGCAAAATTCTGGGAGTGGTTGGTCATAAAAAGCTAGAATATGTGATTGGCTGAATCTGCTAACTCCTTGTGTGGACCGTCCCACTGTGTGTGTGTGTGTGTGTGTGTGTGTTTGTGTGTGTGTTTGTGTGTGTGTGTGTGTGTGTGTGTGTGTGCGCACGCGCGTGTGTGCGTGTATATAGCTATTTGCCCTGTGGCTCCTAGGGCAAATTGGTTTTCTTTCTGCACTAAGCTAAAGGCTCCTGTGACGCTTCCCTGGCTTTTCATTGCTACTGTTCCCTCCTCTGTGCTGCTGTGTGGCTGGAGTTGCTATAGAAACCAGTTTGCAAGTATATATGGAAATTCCTGCCTGGGTGTGGTGACCCCAGCCTGGAATCCAGCTTTTGGGCATCAGTGGTGACAGAATAACCAGTAATTCCTGGTCATCCTTGGCTACTATCTCAGACCTCATCTCAGGAAGAGTTTCTGACAAGTCTGAAATGAGCTTTGAATTCCTTAAAAGAGAGAAAAAAAAAAGGAAGGAAGGAAGAGAGGGAGGAAAGGGGGATGGAAGCAGTGTCCAAAGCATCCTGACGAGTCTCCACTGTTACTCTCGAACCCTCTCCACCTCCACCTAGCCCTCTTCGGTGACTGCTGCCCCTGCACTGTCTCATTGGCGTGTCTTCCTCCCAGCCCTCTCCACTTCTCTTTTGTGACAGCCCTTTCGGCACCAATGTCTTCTGCTCTGGGTACTACTGTTGCAATGCTACCAGTGTCTCCTATCAAAAGAAATCTGATCATGTGATTTCAGATTTAAAAGCCTCTGGGGAGCTGAGTGGTGGCTTAGGGGTTAAGAGCACACCCTGCCCTTGCAGGGGACCAGAGTCCATTTCCCCGGGCTCTCATTGAGTGGCTCATGAGCAGTGTAACTCTAGCTCCAGGATACCCAGTGCTTTTCTTCTGGGCTCAACAGGCATGTGGACTCACATATGCACAGACTCAGACACAGGCACACAAATACATGTAATTAAAACATAAAAATAAACCTTTAAGACTATTGGGATTTTTTAAATCTACAAAATAAAGCCAGTTTTTGTTTGTTTGTTTGTTTGGTTGGTTTTTTTTGGTGGGGGGTGTTGCTAGAGTCTTGGTATCAGGTGCTAATGCATGTGTACTGCCATTTCGCTGTCTATCACAGGTATCCTGTGTATCTGTCACAGGAGATTTGCTAGCCTCTGTGTGCCCCGTGCCTTTCTGCATGCTGCTCTCTCTCTCTCTGGAGTGTTTGCCTTAGCTGTAACTTTCCTCCCTGACAAAGGAATTCAGTGTTTGAACTAACAGGGAGCCACTGGGCATACTCACAGTTCAGAAATGGCTGTGGGCTGTGTCCTGGGCCAGGCAGAGGTTCGCAGCTGAACCCTCACAAGTCCATGTGTATAGGCTGCTCAGAGACACTTCTCTTGGGTCTCTCTTCTTCCTGGGTTGCTGGTGGCCAGCACCACACAAGGTTCACAGCTGGTGAGCTCTCAGTCAGCCTGGAGCAGCAGGGACTGCTGGCTTCTTCCTTTATCGTGTGCATTTCCCACAGTCCCTGTCTCGGCAAACCCTGGGCATTGAGCCCGTGCCCACAGGCCACTTTTGTTTCCTCAGACAGGAGTCAGGCACCAATCCATATTCCTTCAAATGCAGGGATACCTTCCAACTGCCCTTCATACTCTGGTCTATGTGGAAAACTGTTATGCTCATAGCATAACAGCCGCTCCCATCGGAGGGAGCATTTTCACATCTCCCCTCTTCCTCACGCCCCAAATATTTGATGATCTATTAGTAAACGAGAAGGTTCAATGGTTGCATATACTTTCTTTGTAAATTTGACATACACTATAGCTCACATATATTTTGATAAGCATTGTTTTGTGTGGAAAGAATCCCATTTTAATACTGTGTTATGTCTGGATAAAACCTGCAGTCTTGAACACCTCCACTTTAGAGGAGCTATATTTCAAATTGCAGCTACTCTAAAGAATTGTTTTTCAAGATTGTTTCAGGATAGTTTTTAAATGGGCATATTCCAGGTCTCTGGAATGCTACTGGCACTGCAAAGCCAATAGCTGGACATACACACAGCTCTCCACAGAGTGTACAGTGTGAGATTCCCTTGTAGCATCTGAGGAAAGAAGGGAAGTAGACCTTTCACTCCCCTTGACTAACATCAGACTAATCTCTTGAATAAAATGACATGTTTGTGATATGTCTTTTTATGTCCTTAAAAATAGTAAAAAACAAACAAAAGGTTACGGCTTGAGGGTTTGTTTGTTTTAGTTACATCGATTTGCAGGCCTTTAGAGCACACTCAAGGCAATATGGTTCTTCTACATACTGCACCCTTCTTCTACAAATGGAGTAGGCACTGTAGACATTTATCTCAATTGTTTCTTCTGAAATAAACACAGATGGTTGTACTCACGTCCACACCAACTCCATGCTGTAAAACATGTCCACATTTACTTATCACTGGGATCTTTGCCTCACCCTGGCTTGTCTCTCAGGTACTCAAGAAGACCTGCCACTGCTTAAGTTAGAATGCAACTTCCTCTTGTTTCTAAAGCACTGACTTTTTCTCCTCAGACATACTGCAACCCTCAGAAACTTACGGGACAGCCAAAGTCAAACTCGGTGTCAGAATGGCACACAGTGTTTGAGAATCACTTGATTAGGGCCCCAAAATATTTTTTTCAATTTATAGTGTTTGTGTGTGTGTGTGTGTGTGTGTGTGTGTGTGTGGTGTGTGGTGTGTGTGTGTGTGCGCACAAGTATGCTGGAATATCACAGCCTGTGTGTAGAGGCAAGAGAACAACTTCCTATAGTTGAATCTCTTCTTCTATTATGGGTTCTGGGGACCAGACTCAGGTATCAGGCTCATCCAGCAGGAATCTTTACCTACCGAGAAATTTCATCAGCCCATCAAAAATAATCTGTTTTGAATAATTTCAATGTCAGTTATTGTCTTTAGAAAAAAAAATCTGATAAATGGAACACCATCATGGTATGGTTTGGAAGCTTCTTTACTTGCTCTGCTTTCCCTTTAGTGTTCATAGTAAGCGTGTTCTGCAGCCATTATGTGACAAGTGTGGAGGAGGGGGATGGGAATCTGGGAAGTATGTTGGCTCTACCAAGTTCAACCTGCCACACAAGGCACGGGATGCTGTCCTCAAGCCAGTACCACTTTGTACTGCTGTAAAGCTAGACTGTGTAACTCATACCGAGACAGAGGCTTTTGGCCGGTGTGTAAATTCACTTCCTCTCTGTCATTAATTCAGAAAAGTAGTTGAGAACCTACCACTTTGAGGAGGTGTCATATGACTAGCAATGTTCTTTAATATTTTCTTTCTTTTGGTATACAGTGGTCTAGATTCAAGTTACTGGCTCAAGCTATATATTTTTTAAATTGTGTATGTCTGTGCATGCAAGAAAGCAATGTTTTAAGTACAAAATTAATTAATGTGAACCCTGATATACACCAATATTCTAAACATAAATTATATATATATTTTTAATTTTGTTTAATTTTATATTCGCTTACCATCACATGGCATTTAGTTGTTCTATAATATTTAAAATTATTGATCTTTAACAGTCATAATCCATGACTTTTTACTGTTCTCTCCCATACTTTGTTTGTACAAGGACTGGCCAGGTTTCTAGAGACTCAAAAGGCTCTGGGTATCTCAAAATATTTCCTTTACTTAACACAGTCTTGTAATTGGGCAGCTGGTTACCTCCAGGTTGTAAGTTAATTGGATCCCTAGAGAGCCTTGCCTGAAAGCCAGGCTCCCAACAGCAGGATCTTTGTCATGAGCCGGGGTGAGAGGCCCAATTGGCTTGCGTCCTGGATGTCTGATGTTCTTTTTTTTTTTTTTTTTTTCCTGTAACATGTTGCTTTCCACAAGAACTTTGCAAAATTGATCCTGGACATTTAGGAAGAACAGTTTATCTAAAGTTAGTGGTATGTTTGTTATATATAGCTTAATGGGAAACCAAGTTTAATTATCTTATCTACGAGTTTTATCTATGACATATAACAAACATTATTAGTAGGTCTGAGATTACTGGAGAAAAGCAAGAAAAACGTACAGCACTTGATTAAACAGGAGCAGGGGTGTCATTCTATGCCCTTTGAAAGACCTTTTTCGTGTACCATAGGCTCTCTTTCGGACAGTGGCAATGATGGTCCCTGACTATGCCATGATCGCAGAGATCGTTCTGTATTCCTGTGGCTTTGTCACTGCTCGGCCGCTGTCGGTCAAAATCGTGGCTACATACCGCTTGTGCTCAGAGCAACTGTCCTCCCAGCACCACTATGACTACGGGATGCGGGCCGTGAAGTCCGTGCTTACAGCTGCCGGCAATCTGAAGGTAGACTCCAGAGCGTCTAACTCTTTACATTTCTATTCTTAAATCTTAACACTAAGTGTCTTCCTAAGGGTTCCAGTATCAGCCTGGTGCGGTGGCAGAGGCAGGCAGATCTCTGTGAGCTTGAGGCCAGCCTGTCTACAAAGCGAGTCCAGGCCAGCTAAGGCTACACAGACAAACTTTTGCTTGGCAAGCAAGCAAACAAACAAACAAACAGGAAAGAGTTTCAGTATATGGTAGGGTTCATCAATTAGCTGAAAAAAAATACATTGCTGGTAATGAGAATAAAAATTTATAGTGTTTTATAGAACAGTACATAGGCAACTCTTATTGTTTGAGCTTAAATGTATGGAGCTGGGTAAAGCCAAAGAACATAGTCACATGCTTTCAATAAATGTTTTGTAGGTTTTCTATTTATATGACACCTAGCACTCTGTGGAGAATAATGTATAAATTAATAATATACACAAAAATCTTAATCATCTCTTACATAATTTCCAATTGTAGTCACCTGTGGGCTAGTGGTAATAGTGATCAAATATTTGCACTTTAAAATCATAACTAAATACATAAAAACAACAGATCATTCATGACAAAGCTGACTTCTCTCTGGAAGTAGAATCATGAAATCGAGCTATATGTTAGTTCTTTATGAAGACATGGTAAGTTATTGTTAAGAACAAATCCCCCAAAATGTGACATTGAAGTTTACAAAATGTTCACATTCACAATCTATAGAAGATATGGATTTCAAAATATATCCCATATGATTAACAATGGTTTGCATTTTTATCCTCTCCCATAATGCTATCAAGAACTCTGATATATTGTGGCTATGTTCTATTTCATAAAAGCCTAATATAACTTCAAGCCATTTTTTTTTTTTTTGCAATAAACACACGTGCCTAGAAGCAACAATTTGTACTACCCTGGCATGTCAGGGCTATTTTGTGGCCAGATAATGGGCGAGATAATGCATTGTCCTAGTGCAAGTTGGTGCTGGAATCTTGACTGGAATTGAGCTATAAAAGTTAGGCTGCAAATGAATCCTGAAAATGAATTCTATCACTCTTTGTTACAAGCTAATTTAGAATTGTTGAATGCTTTGGCTTGAATATTTTCAAGTTTGTTTCTGTTCTACCGAGAGACAATATAAGCATTTGTTTCAAAATAATAGCCTCTTAAATAATAAAACTGTATCCTGACCCTTCAAAATTCATTTTTTGTCACATTGATCAAGAACAAAGTCCAGATGAAGAGGGTAACTTTGCCCTCTGGAAGCCCTTGGAGAGTCAGAGAGGCGGGTACAATCAGGCACCTGCTACAGCTTCAGAAAGAACAAGGCTCCCTCCCTCTCTCTTTCTTTCTCTCTCACTCTCCTCCCTCACTCCTCTCTCTCTTTCTCTTTTTACTTGGTAGAAATGTTTTTTAAAAACAAGAGAAAATTCTTGAAAACAGAAAAAAATATAATGGTAGGAGAACTTTTGAATGAGATGTTGAGTGAATTAAGTTTGGGAGAAACAATTCTAAGGCTAGGTTTTGGCAGCACTAACTGTGTGAGTGTTAATATAGGCATAAGGAACAAGTTCCAAGTTCCATCAGAGTTCTAGTAAATTTTGGGCATGCAACAGACCCTTAATGCTTAAGTTTTCCTATGTGCTCTCTACGTGACTGGGTCTGCAGTCCTCCCCCATCTCTATGGCACTTGATAACTACATGGCATGGGAACAGGCAACCAGTAGGTAGCCAACGGGCACAGTGGTGCTCGGCCCATCTGCTCTATCTCACAGTATCCCTCACTCAGAGTTTTACAAAAGTAACCTATTAGGGGTCTTGAATAAGCAAGCACTACCCGATAAACAGGCAATGACAGCTTTCAGTGTGCTGAATGAACATATCCGTGGAAACAATCAGTTCTGCCCCCTTTCATGGTAAAGGAGGTTCCCGGAATATAAACACCAGTTTCTGTAGTGAAAAACAGTGACAACATGAGCAATGTTTTGTTTAGGTCGTTCCCAGGTGCTGTGCATTTGGTGAGTATAGACATGAAAAAGGTGTCCATGATAGAAATCCTCATGACTGCATTTTCTTTTAGCTGAAATATCCAAATGAGAATGAAGAAATATTGCTACTTAGATCTATTATTGATGTAAATCTGCCGAAGTTTTTATCCCATGATTTGCCACTCTTTGAGGTAAGAGCACATGCTATTGCCACGTGTGGGGCCTCTTATGGCACTGCTCTGCAGAGCTCTCTCTCCACGGACTCGGTGAAGAGCAGGGGTGCGTTCAGAGGAACACGGACCAGTCCTGCTTCTCTGTGAAGTATGCTTAGCTTGGGCTGTTGCTTCTGATACTTTTAACAACTTGATTTTTTTATGTATGTTTTTCTTACTGCACAATAATAATAACATACAAAAGTTATAAAATATTTGCTATAAATTCTATGAAAATGTAGACTGTTGAAAATTAGTTAGGCTAAGCACACCATTGAAACTTCAGCACTTGATAAAATAAGAATTAAATTTTCTTAAAAGAATGCAGTGACTTTTATGAAATTGTCTATTCAGGATAATTTAATGTAAGAAGCAAATTTGAAAATCTTTAAGTTTTGATTATGAGTAGCTGGGAGGAAGAAGAAGAATTAGAAAAATGGCTTCTATAATCAATCTTGTGTCATTTTTTTTTTTGCCTGCTATAAGAAGCCGTGGAGCATTGGCTCCTTCTAAATGATAGTTGTGAGGTTTTGAGCCACCATGACCACTAGCTTTCAGCACATAAAGACTGAAGGCCCCACGGCTGTCACAGGAGGAAGATAAGAAATGCTCCCGAGCGTGTGCTCCCATAGCAACCATCTTTGGTCATTTTGAAAGGAAGCCTCCTTAGTGGCCAGACTTGGTGGTGCACAAATCTCATTGGAACAAACCAACAGGAGAAGATCTCAGATGTTCTCCCTGAAGCATTCCCTTCGTCCTCTTGTGCTGGGACACAGACAGAGTTTGTGGGAACAAAAATTGCATTTCCTTCCAGAAGGTGGGTGTGTGTGTGTGCAGACATGTTTGCCTCTAGTAGCGCTTCTGTGAAGCAAACATTTAGTGATGCCCCCATCGAGTGGAGCATGCCTGACATTCCCAGGCAGGACATTGTCACAGGTAAGGCAGCCTCATGTGCTGCAGGACCCCCCACCCCACCCCAGTCAGACCTCTCTCACAGCAGCAAGCAGGACGACAGGCATGTCTAGTCTCTACCTGATAGAGAGTCAAGGGTATTTATTGATCTTGGTTGAGAAGTGCTGGATGACAAATGTTTCCAGTTGTCTGCTTCTTTGAGGGCTACGCTCAAAGTACTTGAACGCTGTGATGGGAAAAGCATTTTTACGGATGACACAGACATACTGTGTGCCTGTGTGTGTGCATGTGTACACTGTGGATCAAATGATCAAAAAAGCATCTTGCTTGTATTAAGCACACAGCTACACATATCTATTATTTTCCCAGCTTGGATCAAGTACTGTGGGCAGGAATGTCATGTATGTGATGCCAGCCTGTGTCACATGACAAATTACAGACCAGCCTGATATACAAGCAAAACCTCGCCCACTTACATTTCATGTTCCAGGGATCATCATCCCCATTTAATAATGATGCAAATGCAACAGAAAGATGGCAAACAACTTGTATCTGTGGCATGTGCTTGAGGGCAGGGATTCTAGCCAGCCAGGCTGCAGTGCCCCAAGGGAATTTACTGGATTAGATAAGGGAGTGATTAAATTGGCAGCTAAATTTTAAATTATACCTCAAGCATATGCTTTCATGTTAAGTACCTCTGAAATTTCACTTTTACCTTTAGAGAAAAAAAAAAAGTAAATTTTCCATAAATTGTAATGAAACATAAAATAGGCTTACCATTTTATAAAGGTTGTTTCTTAGATCTTGTAATTAACTTTATGTACTCATAAGCACTACAGGCAGAATCACAGCTGTTACAAATGCACATTATCTGATTGTGATAACTTCCTTAAAGTTGCCATAGTGACGCCTGCAGTACAGCATAAACACCTGTTCTCTTCTAGTTCTGATGCATAAAGTGTTAAAGCATAGCCCTAGAGACCACACCATGACCGTGACAACTCTTAAAAAGAGAACATTTAATTGGGGCTGGCTTACGGTTCAGAGGTTTAGTCCATTGTCGTCATGGCAGCAAGCATGGTGGCATGCAAGAGACATAGTTCTGGAAAAGCAGCTGAGAGTTCTACATCTGAATTCTCAGGCAGCAGGAAGAAAGTGACACTGGGCCTGGCTTGAACATTTGAAACCTCAAAGTCTACCCCCAATGACACACTTCCCCCAAGAAGACTACACTTATTCCAACATGTGAATGGGTCAACTCACAGGCTCCTGGTTCTGTCCTGGTGACATATGTGTTACTTTACACAAATTCAGAAGTTTATAATAAGTTCAGCAAGCACATTTTGTCTGACCTGCAATTTTTTAAATTAGTTTTGCAAAACTTCAGGGTATAAATTTCCTCCCCCCGCCAAAAAAAAAAAAAAAAAAAAAAAAACAACAAAAACCCCAAACCAAAGACTCGAACTGTTAAATAGCTCTATTCCCATTTACATTAAATGCAAATTTACTTTATACTTTGGCTAACATAAAACCATTTGCTTATGTCTTTCGGACATAAATGTTTGCAATGTAAATTTCGCGCCTGTTATCAGGGAATTACTTCGGATTTGTTTCCTGGGGTGAAACTACCGAAGCCAGATTACAATGACCTGCTGGCAGCCATCAAAGACAACTGCATGTCTATGAATTTGCAAATGACCGACTTCTTCTCCGAGAAGATCCTTCAGATCTACGAGATGATGATCGTGCGCCATGGCTTCATGATTGTTGGAGAGCCATTTGGTGGGAAGACCAGTGCGTATCGTGTTCTAGCAGGAGCATTAAATGACATCTGTGAAAAGGTCAGTATGCCGTTCGCACAGGGATTTACTGATAATTAGCTTTGTGCAAGAGGGGATATGGGGCTATTTTGAAACATACTTTCCATGGGGTAGTGTAAAATCATTAAAAACAGAAAGAAAATGAGTTAGAGATGACAAATCTAGAAGGGCAAAATGAAGCAAATGGTGAATCCAATACATGATGAATATGCTGCAAAACTGCCTTTCAGTCTTTCACTTCATTTTTTAGTTAAAGCTAGTGCATGTTTTGTTGTTTTTGTAAAAACAATATGAAAATAGAAAAGAAATTGAAGAGTTTAATCTTCAATTAAAAGCTTGTAGGAGAGTATTTTTATTTTTCTGGGAACTGACAATGTAAGCTTCTGTTCTGAGATGTCAGTGAAATTTGTTTGAAGGCATGTGTGTGCATAAGTGTGTGTATGTACATGTATGCACACATACATACATACATATGTATATACATATACATATGTGCATACGTGACTACTATTCAAATTCCTCCAAGTCGTTTGTGTGTTTGTTTGCGTATTTATTTGTATGTGTGTGTGTGCATGTGTATGGGCGCCCTTAGAGGTGAAAAGTGGGTGGCTGATTCCCTGGAGCTGAATTTACAGGTAGTTGTGAGCCACTAGACATAGGTACTGGGCATCAAACCCCAGCCTTCTGCAAGAAAAGCAAGTGCTCTTAACTGCTGAGCCACATCTACAGCCCTCTAGGCAAGTCACATTATGGCTTATTTTGACATGCTAAACAAATGGGACTCTGGACTTGGCAGCTGATACTGCTTTCCCATTTGCACTTCCTCTTGTATTTTGGGTAGCTTTTACCACCCATTTCAGAGCTTGGAGCCCATATGGAGTTTCTGACCATTGTGTCTTCACTGTGGAGTCTCTCTTTCCATGAATACGAAAACATTTGTCTTTTTACCTTTGTTTCATTTTACTAATATTGTTTCTGTGTTCTCCTAGTATGCCTGTAGCTTCAAAGGTAGTCTTAGTATTATTGTGACTTGTCTTTTTACAATAACAGTCTGACTCTTCATTTCTGCAGTTGGTGTCTTTATATTAAAATTAATAATTATCAATTTTTAAATCATCACTTAAAATTTTTAATCATTTATTTTTATTTTATGTACATTGATATTCTACCTGCTTGTATACATGTGTGAGGGAGTCAGATCCTCTGGAACTAGAGTTACAGACAGTTGTGAGCTGCCATGTGAGTGCTGGGAATTGAACCCAGGTCATTTGGAAGAGCAGCCAGTGCTCTTAACCACTGAACCATCTCTCCAGTCCTTGTTTATGATTTTTATACAATAATTTTGATCATGATTTTCCCTCCCTCAACTCCTCCCAAATCTTCCCCATTTTTTTTGTCTGCCCACTTCATGTTCTCTTTCTCTCTCAAAAAAAAAAAAAGAAAGAAAATCAAAACAAACAAGACAGAAAAACTCCAGAAACAAAAAGAAATAAAACAAAAATCCCAAAAGAAAACAAGAAAATAACAACGTGGAGTTCATTTTTTGTTGGCCACTACACCTGGGCATGAGCTTACTCTAGAGTATGGTTCATATACTCAGTGACATGCCATTGTTAGGAACTGATTTTCCCTTTGCCAGCAGGTACCAATTACACATAGCTTCTTAGTCAGGGGTGGGAGACTATCCACTTCGGGTCTTTCTGTTTTATCAGGGAATTTAAGATGATGTAGGCTTTGACTTTTTGAACCTGCTTTATTTGGGGTTCCTAAATGCCTCTTCCTCCCTTCCAACCCCTGACCCTAAGTAGGAGAAAAAGAAGGTTAGTAGGTACAGGGGATGTAGACCCCTTTTATCATAGTCAGAATTGCAGCAGTCCAGCCGAACAGCAAAAGGCAGCAGGGGCCTCCCTGAAGCATCCTTTCTCTTCCTCTCTCTTCTCCTATTTATACCCTCTCAAAGTCCACAAAAGGGTGTTTTCTAGCTGGCAAAAATGATGCCCCCAAACGAGGCAGTTTCCAGCTGACAAAGATCAAGTGCCCTTTCTCAAGGCTTTTGTCAGCTGTAGATAAACTAAAAGTATTCCCACATCCCACACGTGGAACTACCAACAAAAACATATTGGCATAACATAACTGAGTTAAAGAAACCAAAACTTTCACTACAAGGTGATTTATATTTAGTGCTATTAATTGACACTTTTAATTGTTACTTTTTCCACGTCTTCTTCTATTTTCCAAATATTTCCTTTTTTCCCCCTTTTCACCTACCCCCAGCTTGCCTTCTTATCGTCCTCTCCTGTGTTTGACCTGTTAGTGTTTTGCCCATGCTACTGTTTCACCATCTAATTTGGTTTGCCAAACACAAACAACATAAAGTCTCTAAAAGGAGGAGGCACCACAGTGCGGAAATAGGATGGGGTGGGGGAGGTGTAAGCATGTGCTCTGCTGTCCTGTAAAGGCCAAGTGGTTCGTTCATTCTCTGGAAATTGTAAGAGTGGAATTGCTGTTTCCTTAGCTACCATATCCTACCTGTGGTTCCTTGCTGTCTTTAGGGGCAGCAACTTCATCCTGATTAAAAAATGAGTACAGTTTATCCATACTTCTACACTGAGGAACTTTTACAGTAAAGCTCTTCCAGGCACAGGGAAGAGAGCCGAAAGGCCTTGAGTTTTGTTTTCTTATTTGAGAGGATTAGTTACACATCTGCTCTTTGATTTACTGGTTTGTGTCTGTCCAAAGTTCAGGCAGTATTTGAAAGAATTGGCCCTGCTATGCTGTTGCATGTGAAATAAATAACTAAGAATAGGTTCAGTACAGGAGATTTTTAAGGAAGCTATATCATTCCGCACAATGCTATAACAATGACCATGTAACATAAGGTAGTTAGCAAACTCCACAAAGTTAAGCACCGGGCCAGCCCTAACATAAGTTACGTACCTTGGTCAACAAGGGTGCATCCCCAAATAATCATCAGTAATCCCTGCCACCCAGTATGTGAAGGCACTGTTGGGGGTGGGCATTGTCAAGGCAGAGGAAGGATTCTGGAGGCTTTGCACTTTCTACTCAATTTTCTGTAAATTTGAGTCTGCTCTGAAAATTAATTCTGTTAATTTAAAAACAAGGCTTATATACCCCAAGGGTGTCAACATGTCTTATAATAATGCAATAGAGCCAGCGTTCTGGCCAAAATAGGCAATTTACTAATACTAAGTTTTTGACTCCATGGGAAGTCTCTATCATTACATCTCTTTATTTTCTCTCAGAGAACATTTTGTAGCAAGGGTCAGCAAATTACAGCCCCCAGGCCAAATACAGCCAAAACTTATTTTTGTAATGCCAGTGAACTCAGAATGGTGTGAACAGTTTTTTTTTACAATTTTTTTAAAACTGAAAATAGATAATAAGAACTCCTAAAACCTACCTCATTTACTATATGGGCCTTTACCAAAAACAGCTGCCAATTCTTTTTCTGTAATTTCCGATTTATAAGAATGAACGAAATTTACCAATTTACCCCCTGTACTTTGTTACTTTAAAATACTGTTATAAACAACATCTCAGAACTTGTCTTTTCAGTTGTTCACTGGCATTCCACACAACATAGAAATGACTTCTTTCACACATCAACCTTTTGTTTTGGAACCTTGTTAACTTCATCCCTTATTTCTGGTGGCTTCTCTGTAGGCTCCTTAAGATATTTGTATATACACACATATATACAAGGAAAGACAGTATCCTTCAAAATGAATAACATTGGTTTTCTTTTTCATTAAGGGACTCATGGAAGAAAACAAGGTGCAAATAACTGTCTTGAACCCCAAGTCTGTCACCATGGGCCAGCTGTATGGGCAGTTTGACCTGGTATCTCATGAGTGGTCTGACGGGGTCCTGGCTGTCAGCTTCAGAGCGTTCGCGGCTTCCTCGGTAAGAGTCCACGTTCTCACATGCAGACCTTGAGAAGGCGGTGATGCGTCCAGTGACCAGCTCTATTTAGATCTTAAGATATTTATTGCAAGCATGTTGCTGGACGCTTTGGTGGTGTTTCCGTGAGGAATGACGGTAGCACATACAAGCACAGCAGAGACCATGTCCCCGAGTGCCCGTCAGACCCCTGGGGAGTGCTCTGAGTGGCACACAGCCTCTTCCGTGACATCATTTCTCTCTGCACTCTAAGATGCTGCCCTTGCGGTATCCGCTCATTGTTCCAACTCCACGCTTAGAGAACAACAATGTCCAACGTTCCAGCACTTTCTGTGCAGCGTGCTTGGAAGAAAGGGGGCTGCACTGGGGAAAGCAGAAGACTTAGGTGACATTCTAGGGCTGGCATCCCTTCCCGCCTTGTTCTCTGGGGTGGTTTTCTGTCGCACTCAAAAGCAGAGTCCGAAGTGTGTGTGCTGTGGCCCAGAATAACTTAACACTAAGCTTCTAGACAATATAATAATTCACATAGAAATGGCCATGAGGCATAATAATTCACATAGAATGGCCAACAGGCAACTGTTATACACAGTTGCATAGCTTACATTACATTTTGCCAAAAGCTATGCCCCAAACACTAAATCTCAGTGAGGCACAGCAGTTTACTCAAGAACAGTAGAGTGGGATGAAAAAGGAAGACCTTCAGCTCAGGGTCACAGCAGTGTCCCCAAAGTGACAGCTGGCAGGCACTGGTAGTTCAGAGGGCGAGGGAGAGCTGATCTCCAGTGATCATCCAGATCGTAGGGTAACACTCTCCCTGCTGCCCTCCCGAGCTCTGAGCACACCAATGACAGCCTCAGTGTAAGCAAGGGATGGCTTGACCCCGGACCAGCCCGCTGCCCTGTGGAGTGGACCATGGGCTCAGAGCATGTGGTAAGAAGGATATAAATCCATCTCCACTGCCACCCACATTAGGTGAAAGGCAGTGAAGCATCATGTGTATACCCAAGCAGGTAGAACTGTAAGAATCAGAAAGGTGACTGTTTTCTGGGCAATGTGTGAGTATTTTCCTATTTCTTAGATATTTGTCAGGCTGTTACACTGATTTTATATTAGCTCTACACCACTGATGTATGTTAGTACTGATGTACTGAACTTCGTGTGAATGTTATATTGATGTTAATATCCTACACTACTGCTTCTCAGCCTGTGGGTCACAACCCTCTTGTGGGGATGGGGAGAATGATTTTGCAAGGGTCACCTAAGACCTTTGGAAAACACAGATATTTACATTATAATTCATAAGAGTAGCAAAATTTCTGCTATGAAGTAGCAACATTGATTTTATGGTTGGAGGTCACCACAATTTGATGAACTGCATTAAAGGTCCAAGGCATTAGGAAGGCTGAGGACCACTGTCCTATACCATTATAAGACAGTTCAGCCTAGGTGTGTGTGTGTGTGTGTGTGTGTGTGTGTGTGTGTGTGTGTGTGTGAATTCATTTTATAGAAGAAAGAAAAAAATTAGCATAGCACATAGAACTCATACTCTTAGTAGACTTCATGATAAAAGTGATCTGTAAAACACTAAAAACGAGTATATTTGAATGAACATTCTCTTTTCCTTGTCAATAGTATTTTCAATTTTAACATTTTTTTAATTTTTATTTTTATATTAATTACAGTTTATTCACTTTGGATCCCAGCCATAGCCCCCTTATTCCCTCCCAATCCCACCCTCCTTCCCTCATCTCCTCCCATGCCCCTCTCCAAGTCCACTGATAGGGGAGGTCCTCCTCCCCTTCCATCTGACCCTAGCCTATCAGGTCTCATCAGGACTGGCTGCACTGTCTTCCTCTGTGGCCTGACAAGGCTGCTCCCCACTAAGGGGGAGTGATCAAAGAGTCAGCCACTGATTTCATGTCAGAGACAGTTCCTGTTCCCATTACTAGGGAACCCACTTGGAGAGTGAGCTGCCATGGGCTACATCTGTGCAGGGTTCTAGGTTATCTCCATTCATGCTCAGCAATTAAAAATAAGGAAATCAAGAAATTTGCAGGCAAATGGTGGGATCTAGAAAAGATCATCCTGAATGAGGTATCCCAGAAGCAGAAAGACACACATGGTATATACTCACTTATAAGTGGATATTAGACATATAATATAGGATAAACAGACTAAAATCTGTCCACCTAAAGAAGCTAAGCAAGAAGAAGGATGCTGGGTAAGATGATCAATCCTCACTCAGAAAGGCAAACAGGACGAACATTGGAAGGAGAAAACAGGCAACAGGACAGGAGCCCACCACAGAGGGCCTCTGAAAGACTCTGCCTAGCAGGGTATCAAAGCAGAGGCTGAGACTCATAGACAAACTTTGGACAGAATGCAGGGAATCATATGAAAGAAGGGGGAGATAGAAAGACCTGGAGGGGACAGGAGCTCCACAAGGAGAGCAACAGAACCAAGGAATCTGGGCCCAGGGGTCTTTTCTGAGACTGATACTCCAACCAGTTTTAACATTTTTAAAGCATTATACATATATTTAGCCTTGGAAACATTCAAAAGATTGAATCAAGGCAAGATGTTATGGTCTTCTCCATGACATAGGTAGCCTTTTTCATCTATGCTGTGTGTGTGTGTGTGTGTGTGTGTGTGTGTGCGTGCGTGCACACTTGTGTTTAACCTCTATTTAAAGAGTGCTTTTATGTTTTCATGGTAAATTGACTCTAAGTTATATCTTTAAATTTTGAAATAATATCATTGATGTGTTTCCTGCATTCCATTTGTGCCTTATCCTCACTGTGTGTGAAGTAGACTCCAGACAGGAAGTGGCTCATCTTTGATGGGCCGGTTGATGCTGTGTGGATTGAGAACATGAACACTGTGCTGGATGACAACAAGAAGCTCTGTCTGATGAGTGGGGAGATTATCCAAATGTCACCACAAATGAACCTGATTTTTGAACCGATGGATCTGGAAGTCGCTTCTCCTGCCACTGTGAGTGTTCATTTTGGCATCTGTCTATGAACTGCACAATTTCTATAAATGTTTCCGTTTACTTGGTAGCCTTTACTCTAAATTGAATGCATTTATATATTCTATTCTGAGATCTGTGATCCTGAAAGAACAGGTGAATCCACTCACATGCCTTGGCAAATTTAGTAATACAGTTATTTTTCTCTTGGATCTGGGATCATTTTGCAAAATCACACACACAAGCTGAGATCATACAATTAAATAAAATTAAGTCTTTGCCCTGAAGAGGGTTGTAAGAAACAGATGTCCCAAGTCATCTTCATGCCCAGCAGGGAACCAGCCTTGTGCTCAGGACTCCCTGCCTAACCTCATCTGATTCTGTCCCAGGGGTAAACTGAAGTAGGTTTTCTTTCATTATGGGGAATCTGATGATCAACAAGAGGCTCCTTCGAGCTGATTGCTGTAGTCTGTCCACTGGGTCAGGCAGGAGCTGCGTGTGGCCAGGCTGAAGCAATGTTAAGGCTAACAAAGGACTCAGGAATCTTTGTTTTTGAGATATACAAAACAGACGAACATCCACCACTAGAAACCTGGAGTCAGACGGACTTCACGTGACACCCCGCACACACCCTCCATCTGTGAGAAGGTATCCCCAGCTTACAATCACCCATCTCTTGTGCAAAGTGACCCCAAATCTGCCTCAGGTGATGACTACACCTTCCCTGCCGTGGGAGCAGACTGCGGAGGTACTGGGGCTTCCTGAGCTTCACTTGGATGCTAAACAATGCTTGTCCTACAGGTTTCCCGGTGTGGCATGATCTACATGGAGCCCCAAATGCTGGGCTGGAGGCCATTGATGATGTCTTGGTTAAACACTTTGCCACAGTCCATCACTGTTATTCAGAAAGAGTTTATAGAAGGCTTGTTTGACAGAATGGTCCCCGTTTCTGTTGAATTCATTAGAAGGCATACAAAGGTAAGACAAACAGGAACTTTAAGATTAAAAAAAAAATAAAAGGAATTAAATGTATTAATTTTAATGTGTTTTTTTATTTAATTTTATTTTTTTCTTATCAGTTACATTTTATTAACTCTGTATCCCAGCCCTGTCCCGCTTCCTCATTCCCTCCCAATCCCACCCTCCCTCCCTCATCTCCACCGTGCCCCTTTCCAAGTCCACTGATGGGGGGACCTCCTCCCCATTCATCCGGTCCTGTTTTATCAGGTATCTTCAGGACTGGCTGCTAAGCCCTACTCTGTGGCCTAACAGGACTGCTCCTCCCTTGGGGGGTGGGGAGGTCAAAGAGCCAGTCATTGAGTTCCTGTTAGAAATAGTCCTTGTTCCCCTCACTATGGGAAACCAATTGGTTACTGAGCTACCACAGGCTACATCTGAGCAGAGGTTCTAGGTTATATCCATACATGGTCCTTGGTTGAATGTCAGTCTCAGAAAAGACCCCTGTGCCCAGATATATTTGGTCCTTGTGGAGCTCCTATCCTTTCCCCATCATACTAACTCCCCTTCTTTCATATGATTCCCTGTACTCTGCCGAAGGTTTGGTCATGAGTCTTTGTATCTGCTTTGAAAACACTGCTAGGTAGAGTCTTTCAGATGCGCTCAGTAGACTCCTGTCAATGTTCAATGCACATCCCATCTGTCTTTCTAAATGAGGATTGATCATCTTACCCCATGTCCGCTCTCTTGATTATCTTTTTTAGGTGTATAGATTTCATTATGTTTGTCATATCTTATAGGTCTATATAAGTGAGTATATACCGTGTTTGTCTTTCTCCTGGGATATTTCACTCAGAATGATCTTTTCTAGATCCCACGATTTGCCTGCAAATTTCATGATTTCCTCCTTTTTGATTGCTGAGTAGTATTCCATTGTGTAAAAATACCACAATTTCTGTACCCATTCCTCCGTTGATGGACATCTGGGTTGTTTCCAGGTTCTGGCTATTACAAATAAAGCTGCTATAAACATGGTTGAGCAAGTATCCCTTTTGTGTACTTGAGCAAATTTTGGATATATACCTAGCAGTGGTATAGCTGGGTCTTGAGGAAGCATTATTCCTAATTGTCTTAGAAAGCGCCAGATAGATTTCCAGAGTGGTTGTACCAGTTTACATTCCCACCAGCAGTGGAGGAGGGTTCCCCTTTCTCCACAACCTCTCCAGCATGTGTTGTCACTTGAGTTTTTCATCTTGGCCATTCTGATGGGTGTAAGGTGAAATCTCAGGATCGTTTTGATTTGCATTTCCCTGATGGCTAATGAGGTTGAGCATTTCTTTAAGTGTTTCTCTGCCATTTGATATTCCTCTGTCAAGAATTCTCTGTTTATCTCTGTTCCCCATTTTTTAATTGGATTACTTGGTTTGCTGCTTTTCAGCTTCTTTAGTTCTTTGTATATACTGGATATTAGTCCTCTGTCAGATAAAGGGTTAGTGAAGATCCTTTCCCAATCTGTAGGCAGTCATTTTGTTTTGATGACGGTGTCCTTTGCTTTACAGAAGCTTTTCAGTTTCATGAGGTCTCATTTATTGATTGTTGCTCTTAGAGCCTGTGCTGTTGGTGTTCTGTTCAGGAAGTTGTCTCCTGTGCCAATGAGTTCTAGGCTCTTCCCCACTTTTTCTTCTAACAGATTTAGAGTATCTGGTTTTATGTTGAGGTCTTTGATCCACTTGGATTTTAGTTTTGTGCAGGGTGATAAATATGGATCTATTTTCATTTTTCTGCATGTAGACATCCAGTTGGACCAGCACCATTTTTTTTTTCAGCTGTCTTTTTTCCATTGAATGGTTTTGGCTTCTTTGTCAAAAATCGAGTATTCATAGGTGTGTGGGTTTATTTCTGGGTCTTCTATGCGGTTTCATTGATCCTCCTTTCTGTTTTTATGCCAATACTATGCAGTTTTTATTATTATTGCTCTGTAGTACAACTTGAGATCGGGGATGGAGATACCTCCAGATGATCTGTTGTTGTACAGGATTGTTTTGGAGATTCTGGGTTTTTTGTTTCTCCATATGAAGCTGAGAATCTTTTTTTCAAGGTCTGTAAAGAATTGAGTTGGTATTTTGATGGGAATTGCATTGAATCTGTAGATTGCTTTTGGCAGGATGGCCATTTTTACAATGTTAATCCTACCAATCCATGAGCACGGGAGATCTTTCCATCTTCTGATATCTTCTTCAATTTCTTTCTTCAGAGACTTGAAGTTTTTCTCAAACAGGTCTTTCACTTGCTTGGTTAATGTCACCCCAAGGTACTTTATGTTATTAGTGGCTATTGTGAAGGGTGTTGTTTCCCTAATTTCTTTCTCAGCCCTTTTGTCTTTGGTATACAGGAGGGCTTCTGATTTTTTTGAATTGATTTTGTATCCTGCCACTTTGCTGAAGGTGTTTTTCAGCTGGAGGAGTTCTCTGGTTGAATTTTTGGGGTTGCTCATGTATACTATCATATCATCTGCAAATACTGACACTTTGATCTCTTCCTTTCCTATTTGTATCCCCTTGATCTCTTTTAGTTGTCTTATTGCTCTGGCTAGGACTTCAAGCACTATGTTGAAGAGGTATGGAGAGAGTGGGCAGCCTTGTCTTGTCCCTGATTTCAGTGGGATTGATTTAAGTTTCTCTCCATTGAGTTTGATGTTGGCTGTTGGCTTGCTGTATATTGCCTTTACTATGTTTAGGTATGTGCTTTGTATCCCTGATCTCTCCAATACTTTAAACATGAATGGGTGCTGGACTTTGTCAAATGCTTTTTCAGCATCTAAGGAGATGATCATGTGGTTTTTCTCCTTCAGTTTGTTTATGTGGTGGATTACATTGATGGATTTCTGTATGTTGAACCACCCTTGCATGCCTGGGATGAAGCCTACTTGGTCATGGTGGATGATATCTTTGATTTAATGTCATTTTTTTGGAAGCTAATGGTTTACTTTTTAGCCAGTTTAACTGGTATTTTTTTCCATTTTGTTATTTTTTTTCTTTCTTTTCTTTGATACAAATTTTTTTTTTTAGAGAATCTCCATACTGATTTTCATAGAGACAGATTTTTCTTTCTTTTCTTTTTTATGTACATTATTATTTTGCCTGCATGTATATCTGTGTGAGGATGCCAGATGTCCTGGAACTGAAGTTACAGACAGTTGTAAACTGTCATGTGGGTGCTAGGAATTGAATCTGGGTTCTCTGGAAAAACAACCAGTGCTCTTAACTGCTGAACTGTCTCTCCAGCCCCGATACACATCTTCTCTGTGTCACGCTGGTGGGCCTGGAGCCCAGGCCGGCCAGTTACCGACAGTGTGAGGGCTGCAGGCCTATGCCAACACTCGCGGCTGAAACACGAGCTCCCACGGAAAGGAAAAAGCTTGCATTCATACAATTGTCCTCCCCAAACAGGCAAAGAATAGTGTCTTAGAAATGGAGACAGTATTGTTGGTGCAGTTAATCTCTCTTAAAAGCAAACAAACCTGAAAGGCCTACCTAACGCTGTTAATTGTAGTATCCAAGAAGTTATCCCTAAACGGTCATATATTATATTTTCACGTGTGTGCTAGTGTATGTGTGTATTTGTTTTCCCAAATTTTCTAAAACAATCAAATCCTTGGTAGAAAGATAAGAAATGAAATAGGGACATCTTGGCAAATGCACGTGAGGAAAGAGACCAGGGTTTCTCAAGCAGTGGCTAATGAGAAAATGGGTGTTAGCGAACTTTCAGAAGCTTGGCTGGCACCTAAGAATGTTACAAACAGGAAGTAGCCATGCTCCAAGCCGTCGAAACACACATGCTCCGGGAGTCAGAATAAAGCAAGGTACAGAAATTGTGTTTCTTTTTCCCTACCACTGTCAGAGAATTTAAGCCCTACAAAGAAATAAACGTTTTATGCCACTGGTGTGTACCTGGGCTATAGAGCAAAAGCAATCATTTAATGTGGAGTTTCTAACATAGTCTGACATCTGTTCTCTCATATAAAAGTTATGAATAACCATTACAATAATAGGTGTCTGCCTGGGAGAAACCATCTGTATTTGAGCATCCCCATCAGTTTCAGTCCTACAAGAGCCAGAAGCTCAGTCCTGTTGTCTACACCTTCTATGGGGATGGGATGGGATGGCTGAGTAGAAAGCCTGCCACTTCTGGCCTTCAGAGATGGTTTCGCCAGGTGAATTTTCACATAGGACCACACAGGAGTGCAGCTCGGAGCTCTGGAAGGGAAGATGGTGGGTGCATATTGAGATCATGGTTCTAGGAGACGTGTGTATTTCTTGATTTACTTAATAAACTCCAATGGTGAGATGCTGAAAATAAAGTGATCAATGTGTAGTTCTGTGGGCACTGGTGAACTCAGAAATCTATCATGGAGTTGAGTTTACTGTAACTGTAGCTACGGATTGTAAACAGATGTAAGTGGGTTTTATTTATTAAGTACTGCATATAAGTACATTGTCATTTCTGACTTCTTCCATAGTTTGGTTTCTAAGATTAATAAAGGATAGGATATATGCCTTTGATTGAGATACCTTTTAACTTGAGAATTTGCTTGAGAGGTTTTGTAAAAGGTACATGCCACCAGCTTTTGAGATGGCTCAGTGGGTTAGAGGGAGCACCTGCTATACAAACCTAACAAGCTGGAACTCACCAAGTGCCAAAAGTGGTAGGTAACTCCTGAACTGTCAGCATTTTCATGGCAATTTGGGAAGAGGAGGCAAAACAATCACCCAGACGCTTGTAGGCCAGCTAGTCTGGGTCTAGAGAGACAAAAAGAAGAGCCCCTGCCTTAACAAGGTGGAAAAAGAGATCTAGCTCCTGGAAAACCTCTACATGCGTACCACTGTACATGCATGTCACACATACAGACCATAAATGGAGTACATGTTACTGAAGTGTGGCGGTCACTCTAGGCAAGGGATGAATGTGGACCTCAATTTCCCTTCACAAATGAGAATCACAGGAGTACTTTTCCATAGATTCTGGGCCTCACAGGATCAGACAGATTCCATAAACTCAGGCAGCTGGTACGCTAGTGCCTTGCTTCATTGGTCTTACAGACTCTTCCTTCTCATCTTTCAGGAGCTCTCTCCTACTTCAGATACAAACTTAGTTCGATCCTTAATGAATCTCATAGACTGTTTTATTGATGACTTTGGCGATGAGAACAAACAAAAAGAAAGAAGTGATAGAGAATCTTTCTCTTTGATTGAGGTAAGATGGCTCATTGTTTTCTGGGTCTTGCAGTAGAAAAGCAGAACCTTCCTCTTTCACCAAAGCCTCCTAATCAGTGAGACCTGCTCTGTGCATCTGCAGCTGGTCTTAGGGAAGCCTTGGAAGCTAAGAGGAAGGAAAAGGCCACGCCCCAAACAGAGTGCTGTCAGGCAGCCTGCTCTGGAGATATGTCCTGCCAGGAGGTTTTGAGCGGTCAGTGACGCTGCAGATCAGTGAGGACCTGCCACTGAAACCAGGTCCTGACTGGCCTCAGCAGTAGCCTCTGACACAAGCCTTCTCCCCCAAACCGTGATTTATTATTTTCCACTTTAACTTTTGTCCTTTATAAGGACAAGTCCTGTATAAGGACAAGTTAATATTTTGGAGAGGGTGTGTGTGTGTGTGAAAGTGTATATGTACATTTGACATTGAGGAAAGTGAAAAAATAGACAATCCACAAATAAATAAATAAGCAGTCTATTATTTAGGTGTTTATATATTCATTTTACAGTACTGGAGATTGATTTCAGAACCTAAAACATGTCAGGCTAGTGAGCCACCATTGAGCTATATCTTAAGACTGATAAACAGATTTGAAAAATATTTGAAATATTTGAAAACTGATAAACAGATTTGATCTGCGGCTGGAGACATGGTGCAGCGGTTATGAGAGCTTATAGTGTTCTTTCCCGGGAGCAGAGTTCAATTCCCAGCACCCAATTCAGGTGGCTCAAAAAAGTTACTTGCGTGGGCCTCTGTCGGCACCTGTGCTCATACACACATGCCCACACAGGCACAGACATTTATATGTAATTGATAACTAATATAACCTCTTAAAAAGTAGTAATGCAGGTATCAATAGACTGTGGACATTTTAGATAAAAATACCAATATACTAATCATGGTAATATGTCTAAGTTGGCTAGTATGTAATTCTTACAACTAGTATTTTATGAAAAATAAGTTACCTTTTAATTTAGGGAAAGGTATTTTCTTGAGAGAAACAGTTTTCACACAAAGTCAATGCTAAGTGAACAAGATTAAAGGTTTCTGAGTGTGGTTGTGATTGTTCATCTTAGTACCTAAAAAGAAACTTGATTTTAAAGCAGGCAGAGTTTTGTCGTATAATTGGTAGGTCTGGTCTTCAGTGCAGTTTGCTTTGGTGGAAACAGGATGTGTTCAGAGTGGCAAATCTGGTTCATTTAATTAATGCTGGTTTATTAATTAAAGCATTTCAAATAAATCAGTAGAAAGTGGTTTTACTTAAATCCAGGGCATCTGCATTAAAATTGAAATGAAAATATGTTTGGTTTTTCACCTCCCGAAGTTACCTCAATGTTCCTTTAAAGAACATTTAAACGTGTGTTTAAAACACATGATTTCCTAGAATCATGGTTGTAAGATTTGCCTTGGCTTGAATTTATGCTTTGCACTGCATCGCTTTAAAGATTTTATGAGACATGATTTTGGGGAAAACTAGATTTTATGGAAGCCTTAGAAGACCTGGTATTACGTGGTAGCTCACGTATTGGCTCTCAGAGATATTAGTCTGGATGATCTGATTTAAGTCATAAGGATAGAGAGAGTGTCTCTCTAATTGTACTCTATCTTCTCATCTCTCCAATGCAGGGCATTTTTCTGTTTTCATTGATCTGGTCTATCGGTGCATCTTGTACAGCTGATGACCGTCTGAAATTCAGTAAGATTCTCCGAGAGCTAATGGAAGGACCAATTACAGACCTAACTCGAAATAAATATAAATTGCTGAGTGGTCTTGATCCAACATCCACAAAGACATTAACAGTGCCATTTCCAGATAAGGCAACAATTTATGATTATCAGTTTGTCCCGGAGGTGAGTTCCAAAGCAGGATGTGTAGCTGCCAGCCCGGCGATAGAGCATGTAGTGGCTCTATGGTCATATGAACTCACTGTTCACATGAACATCCAGTGTGAAATACAGGAAGATGTGCCAGCCTTACAGTATAACTTGCACCCTGAGTTTCCTTCCTAGAGGAGTTATTTTCTTCCTGCACAGTCGTGGATGAGCTCATTTTTCTGAACGTCATTTTTGCTCAGTGATAGAAAGTTCTAATAAATACCCAAAGTGCCATTTTACCTATTAAAGGCAATTTCACATTATGATACCTAGCCCAACATGAAGCACATGCTGTGCAAGGCCAGCTCTTGGAGACCTGGCTTTACGCTAGTACCTTGCAGGTACAGAGTCCTGTAGAAATGCATGTATCTATGGATAGTCCCTAACAGATGGGACTTTGAGATTTGAGTTCTGTTTGTTGGTTTTGTTGTAACTTCCACAAACACTGTGCTTAGAAAAAACTTTAGGAATAAGAAATAATTTAAACATCTATAAACTTAGTAGACTTAGGACCATGCCCTGTGATCAATGGGCAATTTCTACTCTTTTTATTTATACTTAATAAAGAGAAAACTTTCCATGTTGCTTGTGTTTCTTCAGTAGAGTTATTTCCCAGAGCCTTCCTAAATGTATCAGGATGCTTTTCAAATCTTCAGTTTTTCATTTTTATAAATACTGCTTAGGTGAAAATTCTTAGACACAAGTTACAGTATGCACATTTGATTAGTTCCTTAAGATAAAGTTTTAAGAGTTTTAACTTTTATAGCTCATAAACAGTACTGCTAACTTCATCTGACAAGGAATTCTTGTTTTACATCCTGACAACACGTAGTTGCTAATTTTATTTCAAATTATTCATCCACAAACCTGGAATTTCCAGAGACAAGAACTAGAGAGTGAGATGTTTCCTGTGGAGGGCACTGGGACTCAGTGCTCTTCAGGGTTTCTCTAAGATTACAGCCTCCAAATGACTGTGCACAGCCAGCTACCGATTGTTAACCCTTTCTTTCCTGCACGAGGCCAGAGGTACATGTTTACATAGATCATCAAGATCATAAAACAGAGCTGTTTTTCTCACCAGTTCTAGAAAAATCTGCAGGATGATTCTTAGACTGAATGTGAATTCGGTGCCCTCACTAAATTCGGTGCCCTCACTAAATGAATAGCTGGTTGCCAAAAGAAATAACAAAATGAATAAAATACCACTGTGCTCAGGGAGCCCGTATCTTTTCCAGAGGAGCATCACACCATGGTTTAGGCTCAGGGAGAGCAATGCAAAGAGCAAGGGGATGAAACATCTGCTGTCTAGTATAGTGAGGACAAGTTGAGGACTGGTTGTGGGTATTTAGCAATGCCAAGGAAAGATAAGTCTGCATCTGATGTGTCTTAAATCAGTATGCTAGATAAGGAAGGCAGTATTACTTTCTAGAGAGAAAACAATTTGAAACTTTACTATAAAAATCAAATTATAAAATTATCAAACTAATTGGATGCAAATAGTAGCATAATATTATTTCACGATAATCACAAACTGGGAAATCTTACTATATTAAAATTCAATGTGAATGTAGTTAATACTATTTAGTTGTGTATATTAATGATTTAAAATTATATTTATAAATTTTCATAAAATAAACCTTGCTTGAAATAAGCATTAAAGTCAAGTGCTGTACAGTTAACTTCTAGGGAAATTATAGCCTGTTTTTTGTAACATTAAATAAAATTCTTTGCTCTCTGCCCGTTGATTCATCAAATTTTGTCAGTGTAATTAGAGAATCCAATATTCATCACTGGGTTGTCACAGCTGTGGTTTCAGAACATCTGAGATGTCAGACCCTTGACATCGCAGCTTTATTCACATGAAAGCCGAGTTTCTCCTCAATTTTTTATATAAAATTTCACTTTCTGCCCAAGAGGCTAATTGTTCTAAAGAAGAAAACAAATGTCTTGATCTCTTCTACAACTGCACAGAAGCACAGAGCCTTTGAAAGTATTTTTATAACTTTAACTGTTTGGCTGTTTACTGTAAACAGGGCTTAGGAAGATGGGAACAATGGATAAAGAAATTAGAAGATGCTCCCCCAATTCCCAAAGATGTACAGTTTAATGAGATCATCGTGCCAACTCTAGACACAGTCCGTTACTCTGCACTCATGAACTTACTGACCACCCACGAGAAGCCTTCAATATTTGTGGGACCAACAGGGACTGGCAAGAGTGTTTACATCATTGTGAGTACTGTAGAAATATAAATGTATCGATTAAAGCTGGCATGATATCCTAAGTCTGGTTTAATTTAAAAATATACTCGACTATTTTGCTGTTTAAATTACAGGAAATTTAAGAGTATTCGGGGAGTAATTGTCTTTTATTTTAGAAAACCCGTTAAAGAAGTGCCTTTGTTAAAGAAGAAAAACCTTAGCTGTTTGTCTCTGGTGGGCTGCCTATGTTGGATCATGATGTTGTTTCTTGTTACTAAATCACTGTCCCATTCATTTGATTTTTAATAAGAATAACTTATCTAGGAGGAGGGAGAATTATGTCTCTTGAACACTGCTTTAGTAACCAGACTTCCCAGAATTTTTTCTGATGGTTGCTTTGTGAAGACGTACTCTCCACAGTGACTCTTGAACTATGCCAGCTGTCAGTTATGGTGGCACCAGCTGCCATGATAGATGTGGCTGGACTCTCAGCTGCCCTCTTCAGCTGGAGGAGGGGACCGAAGGTGCTTTTGGCAGACTGCCTTCCATCCCAGGTTTCCAGTTAGTACACATTCCTCCAGTTTTTGACAGTCTTTGTTTCTGGTTCTTCAATCATCTTAATTTAAATCGCATCTTTTAGTCATTCTGAAATGTATCAGGGAATATGCTAGTGTCCGAATCATTTTTGCCATTTATACCAAGGCAATAGACTGTAGGGGTATTAAAAACATTAGTTTTCATAAAGTTGTTTCTACCTATCATCTGTCCCTGTCACACATATTGAAGCAGAACCACAGTCCCAACACTTGGCTTCTGGTGAATTCTGTTTGAAATGCAGTGTTGTTACTTAGGTTTAACATACAGAAAGATGTCTGGGCATGAAAGCGCAAAGGTGGTCGTGAATATCAAAAAGAACCCTGGTGTATTCAGAGACAAAAACAGGCTGAATTCTTGTCTTCCTCTAAGGCTGGAGGTAACCTGGCTATAACCCTCAGTCCTTCCTGCTTTGCGCCAAGCAATGTGCACTACCAGTGTAGTCATGACACTTAGAGCAGAAACATGCAAAGCACCTAGGCAGGCGAGGACACCCTGTTGGCATGGTAACTGTTGTTCCGTATTCATTCCTTCTCTTGCATTGTTCTGATATGTCAGCCTAAGCTCAAGTTTGTCAACAGTGATGCTTCGTGTTTATTCTGAAACAACAAAACATGGTTCAACTGTGGTTCACTTTTCTGTTATGTCCTGTTATGCAGAATTTTCTTTTGAATCAACTCAATAAGGATATCTACAAACCTCTGATAGTTAACTTCTCAGCCCAAACTACAGCTGCCCAGACTCAGAACATCATCATGTCGAAATTGGACAAAAGAAGGAAAGGAGTGTTTGGCCCTCCTTTAGGCAAGAAAATGGTAATGGCTTCTCCCACACACACCATGTTTGTTCTGTCTGTGGTACAACCCTTTACATCTGCTGCTTCAGTCAGAATAAGGAAACCTACTATACTAAAGATTGGCATCTTTGTTTACTTTGTTAAATGATTTACTACATTTGTATTTGTGTGTGTATGTGTGTGTGTGTGCGCACGCGCGCGTGCATATGTTGTGACAAGAAGACAACTTTCAGGAACAGTTCTCTACTTCAACCATGCATTCGGGGAATCATTAGGTCATTGGGCTTGACAGCAGCCACCTTTGCCCTCTGAGATATCTCTCTATCTCACTAACTCTTTTCTTCTAACGAATTTTTAATTTACATTTTCCCAGGCTGAGAATATAGCATAACAGGTACAAGGCTTAGCTAGCACACACAGAGCCCTGGGTTTGATTTTCAGCAAACTGTGTGTGGTGGCAAAAGCCTGTGAGCCCAGCTGTCAGGAGATGGAGGCAAGGCCGTCAGAAATCCAAGGTCATTCTTAGATACATACTGAGTTCAAGGCCAGCCTGGTTTACATAAGACCCTGACTCAGAAAAAGAAACAAAACAAAACAAAAGTGAATGGTGATATTTGTATGACAATGAACAACTTGATGTTGTTTTTTTAATGCATAAATATTTTTTTGTTAATTACACTTTATTCACTTTGTATCCCCCCTGTAGTTCCCTACCTCCTCCCGTCCCAACCTCTCCCTTCCTCCACCTTCTGTATGCATGCCCCTCCCCAAGTCCACTGATAGGGGAGGTCTTCTTTTCCTTCCTTCTGATCCTAGTCTATTAGGTCTCATCAGGAGTGGCTGCATTGTCTTCTTCTGTGGCCTGGTAATGCTGCTTCCCCCTCAGGGGGAGGTAATTAAAGAGCAGGCCAATCAGTTCATGTCAGAGACAGTCCCTGTTCCTATTACAATGGAACCCACTTGGATACTGAACTGCCATAGGCTACATCTTTAAGTGGCTGTCCTTTGATATATTTATGCCTTTAGAATTGAAAACAAAATATTGATATTAAAAAATTAGGTTTTAATTTTGCCTTAACATTCTCAGTATATTTAATACTTGTTTTTTTTTTAAAGAACTTTCTCTACCAAATGACTTATTTATGCTTCTCTGCAAAGAACTCTTTTCTCAACTAAGCCTTCACTACTCAAAGACCGTGCTTACCTAACAACCTTTCTTTGCTAGTTAATAATTCAGAGTGTTTCACAAGGGAAAAAGTATATTGAACAGCAAAGGGTGTAAGAGTATTTGTAAGCCTTGAACCACCAACCTATAAATATTAGAAATGAGGAGGTCTCCTTATTTCTATAGGAACCTAATAGCATTCTTTTTTGAAAAAGAAATAGTCGCCTCTCAGATATATACCCAATAACTGTAAGAATACAGACTAATAATCTGTCAACATCATTTACATAGTAGGGCTCTATGTTAAGTGCTAATATTTTCTTTTCTATTGTATTTTTTTCTTTTGGAGACCATACCTCACTATGTAGCCCTGGTGCCCTAGAACTCACTGTACAGACCAGGCTGGGCTCAGACTCAGAATCTGCCTCTGCCCCCCAAGTGCTGAGAATATAGGCCTGTGCCCCCACAAGGGGCTTAAGTGCTAATATTTTCTAATCTTTCTTTTCTTTCTTAGGTTGTCTTTGTAGACGATGTCAATATGCCTGCTCGGGAGGTCTACGGGGCGCAGCCTCCCATTGAGCTACTGAGGCAGTGGCTAGATCACTGGAATTGGTATGACCTCAAAGACTGCTCTGTGATCAAGCTAGTGGACATCCAGATCATGTGTGCCATGGGCCCCCCAGGTATGCACGCTGAGCTGATGACTAAGAGAGACACCACTCTGCTTGTATCTGAAGAGGCAACTGGAGGATGAAGCATGTGTCAGAGATAATCTTCCACACTAGGGCACGCCCCTTCTCACTAGTTTTAAACTGGATTTAAGGTTTGCTAAGAGGACTTAAAATAGTGAGAACCCAAAGGAATCGGTCTCCTTTACATTTTCAAAGAGAAGTTTGAAAACTGAGCTAATACTGGTATGCGTAAAATGGCTTGATTCTGCTAACTGGAGACCTTTTTCATTGTTTTGTTTTCTGCCTTCAGTCTGGCATTCTATTGAGGAAAAAAAAGAGTCTTCTCTGAATATACTGCTTCAGAGACTATATTTATGCACAATATATACTAAAATTATGTACTTTTAAAATTACCTCTTTGCTGAGAGCGTATGAGAAAATCCCTCCTAAAAGTAACTGTTATTTGTCTGCGTATTTGGTTTGTCAGGCTGAGGGCTAGCCTTGGAGCCTGGAGTGTGCTAAGCCTGTGTCTTTTCCCCTGAGTTTCGATCCCAGCCCTCTTTGCTTTGCATACGATGCAGTTCTGGGAAGTGACATGTTAGATGTGAAGTCGCTTATACAAGTCTTGTGTTTGGAATTTTGATCATTATTCTATGAAAGTAAGGTATTCCCCAGATTCTTATAAGTACGCACAAAGTGGCTGCACATGCTTGTAAACCGGTCTTACGGGAAATTGATGAAGATGTGGAGGAAGAGTTGGGATAGAATAACCGAATTGAATTTACTCAAGTAATTCAATTAGAAAAACATCATCTTAAGTCTGAGTGGGACAGCTTTGAGGTTAGCGTCTCCCCGAACAGCTAACTTTTTAATTCTTTTTGTGTGCTGTGAATGTATCACCTTCCAGTCTAGTAATATTATTAAGAACTGTCCTTTCTAATATTTAGGTGGTGGCCGAAATCCAATAACTCCTCGCTACATGAGACATTTCAATATTGTAACCATCAACGAGTTTAGTGACAAGTCCATGTTCACCATCTTCTCCAGAATCTTGACGTGGCATTTAAGGACCTGGTGGGTGACCTAAGACTGCAGAGCTTTTCTGCTTCATTAAGAAGTATAAAGTCTCTTAGAAACATAGCAAATGAGTAATATTTATTACATGTTCCTATGAAAGCATCCCTAGACGGAGATAGGCAACAGGGGACGTCACTCTCCTCTCTTCTTCCCCTGCCCCAGTGTGAGGCATAGCACAAAGGGTTCACTGTGTTTAGCCCTGTAGAGTGTCTGTGTTTGGGTGGTTATCTTGAGTATTCATAGCTGAGTACAATGAAGGCTGGAAAGAAGTGTCCAGTTTATATTGTGACTTTGTTATCCTCTGGAAGAAATCTTGGGTTCTACAGGGGTGTTTCTATGCCCAAATTTTAGAATGCAGACTTGAGCCTATTCCCTAAGCAAATGTTCCCCAGATCTGGGGATTCAGTTTTAACCCAGAAGATGAGCAGGTATCATGGAGCCATTCTTACTTGGCTATCAGCCATCTTGGCCCCACAATGACTGTTCTTGGGAAATTGTTATTTCTTGCCAAGACCAGTGATGACAGGACAGACACTTGGCTTCTTGTTAAGACAGGAGTTGAATGTAGCCAATCTTTCTAAATGGAAACTCTCTCTCTAGATTTCAGTCTGTCCTAATCATATATTTTGCCTCTTTTATTATTCTTTTTTTGTAATTTTTTATTCTCTTTTTTTTCTCTGAAAACACTCATTTCTTTATGGATCTTATTGGTATAAAATGGAAGATGCCAATGACTCAAAGAGTTGCAAAGCACTTGGCTTTGCATGTGGTGGGTTTGGGCTTCTGTACACAGTTGAAATCCAGTAAGCCCACTGGTCCTGCTGAATTCCTAGGGTTCCTTTGGATACATCATAAAATACCAAATGGAAAGCATCTTGAAAATAAAAAGTCTAGCGTTATAATTATAAGTGGAAATTTTATAAGCCAAAGTGATTGAATCACAATTGAAAATGTCACATTAGTTACATGAAGTGTTACTATGTTGGCTAAATTTTTTCTTACCTTTTTCCCCCTAAGTTATAACTTTCCAGATGATTTCCTAGATTTGACCACACAAATTGTGAATGGCACAATGACTCTGTACAAAGACGCCATGAAGAACCTCCTGCCTACCCCGGCAAAGTCTCATTACCTGTTCAACCTTCGAGATTTCTCCCGAGTCATTCAAGGTGTTTGCTTGTCAAGGCCAGAAACTGCAGAAAACAAGGAGGCAATGAAACGCCTGTGGGTTCATGAGGTAAAATTCCACACCATTCAAATGTGATTACAAAAGAGCAAGAACTACCATGATAGTGACAGAGTAAAACGGAACATTCAGTGATGTGTGTTGTTGAAGTTCATTAGGCATTTGACATGACTTAGGCCATGATCAGAGTACATTTTGAAATATTTAATACTTGAAATTTTAAAGTATTTAGTGTCTAATCTTCCATTTTGGAATATAGACTATCTTGAAGTATGAATTAATTGCAGCCAATTTTTTTTTAAGTATCGTAATCCTCCCTAGTCCCTTTTTGTGATAGGAAACTTTAAGCGGGTGGTTTTATAAACTGTGCCTGTATCAGTCTATGTTATTTATTTATAGATGCTCCAGAGAAAACAAAACTATGGAGCTAAGCAGTGTTAGGATTCCTAGCTTGAGAGCACAGAAGATATTTCTGAGTCCTCTTGGGAATAAAGCAAGGATGTCCTCCTTTCTGTCAGGGTGCATTTTCTTCCAAAGACGTGGTAGAAGTATTTTCGTTATCCCATTTTCTATATGCGAATAATGCAGTTGTTTTCATTTTTACTAACCTAGCAATTGGGATGTGTTGCTATACTAAATCCATGTGCTACACTCAGTAAAATTTAAAATGTCCTAGCCAGGCCTGGGGACACACACCAATAATCCCAGCACTCCAGGAGGCAGAGGCAGGCAGATCTCTGTAAATCCGAGGCCAGCCTAGTGTACAAAGCAAGTCCAGGACAGCCAAGGCTACACAAAGAAAGCCTGTCTGGAAAAACAAAACAAAACAACAACCATAAAAATTTTAAAAGATACTAATAAACTAGTTTCTCAAGGCACTATAGACACAATATTTGAATTCCTTAACAGATGTAAATCTGAATCCAAGTAGCCATCCACTTTACTTGGAAGTCATAGCCACAGAAAGGCTAAAATTGTTCTTTGGAAAGTATGACCTTTCCACCATTTTTGACTATGCCTCTACTAACTGGCTGGAATATGTCCCACATCTGGGGATGGGGACACAGGTTCCATGTTTAGTGAGCAAATGACATAAAACTATGCTGGGCGCTAGAGCATTAAGGTCATTGGAAGAACGTGCTGCCTGTTAGAACATGGCCTGTCCCTAAAAGACAGTGGTCACTTCTAAATGTCCAGATCCTACACTCTGAAGTTGTCAGACCACGCCCATCTCTGGAGCAGAGTGTTAAGAAGCAGTGCGTGCTGACTTGAAAGCTCCCACTGGGTGTTACCTGGCTTTTCCATGCTCTTTGTTACAAACACTGTGTTGTACTAAATCATGTGATGTGAAAGTTTCCTCCAGCCCCTCAAGTTTATAAAAGTCTGCTATTTCATCTGTTCCTGGAATGTTCAGGGTAGTGTTCTGACGGCTGCTCTCTGAGGAGGCTCCTCTATACCCCTTCCCCCACTAGTCTCTCCTTCCTTGCTCTCTCTCTCTCTTATATATAGTTCTCAATCTTCATGAAGCGCCTCTCCAGGTTTTAAAGGGAAGCCCCTCCTTCTCTATGAGGCCTCATTCTGTTTAGATTTCCATCTATTCTATTCTAATCTAACAGCATTCTGTCTAATGCTGTCCCTCCCACCTGGAGATCTGAGCATGGCCTTGATGCTCACTTTCTCCCAATAAATCACATCCTCTAAATCAAATTATTCATCAGCTTCCTTTCCAAACCAACTGCTGCCATTTTCATCATCTTAATACAAGGATTATATTTATTGCCTTCCTGAAAACGGGGATATTTTAACCAAGAACTTTTAGACTAAGTGGTTTATCAATTTAGGCATTTTATTTCAAACAGTTCTAGGGGCCAAGACTGTCCAAAGACTGGGAGGTGGCAGTGTCTGCAAAGAAGCTGTTTCTTTGTTTGTATGGTGTTCTTACGGTCAGGGATTCTCTGGTTTCTTTATGAAACATTGGTCTACTTATGAGCACTCAGCCCCATAACCTAATTCCTTCCCCAAAGCCCTGATCTTGGAAGGTGGAGTTCAACGTACCAATTCTGCAGTTACATAAAGATTTAGAACAAGGCAGCATTTCATCCTGAGCCAGTCTGACTCTAAGGAGCATCTAGAATTTTTCATCTCAGGAACATTGCCTTTGATTGTCCTGCTGTCTGCAAGATTTTCTTCCTGTCATATGCAAGGCTTGTGGCCATTACTTGGACATCTCCAGGCCCCCTTAGCCCTTCAGACTCATTAAGCAGTACTTTGACTCATTCTTCATGGCTCAGAGCATCACCTGGCTATCACATTCTAAATGTTTCATTTGCTTGCTGTCTTTGTGGCTCTGTCAGTTTTTGCTTATCAACCGCTTTCCCTGGTGCTTGGCATGTAACAAGTACTCGGGAAATAGTGGTGAATGAGTGAATAAAGGGAGGAGGCAGGCAAGATGGATGCTGCCTAATAGACTGTGTCACTTGGGATTACAGATGCTGCCCCTTTTTTCTGGCCACTGAGCAGCTGATACATGCTGTTGTGTATGGGCGACACATACATTCACCTTTTAGCCTTGTTCAGATTCTACCTGATTATCGGAAATTAACAGTGGCTAATCGTTCTTTGGATATTTAACAAGGTTCATAACAAAATAACTTGTGATTTGAATGACTTTTACATTCTCATATATACACATGCTAACATGGATAAGTTTAGAGCTTTAGTCCAGTGGTGCACAAGGGCTGGTTTGGGTACCTATACCTCTTCCTCTCGGGGTGTCTGGAGGGCTTTCCCACTTGTTACTGAGCTTCCAGACCTAGCCACTCCCCTGTCTTTGGTCAGATCTAGCGTCAGTGTGGCCTCCACTGACCATGCCCAACACCCAACTCCCACCCAGCAGCTCAGACTTGCCTGTCTCGTTCTCTTCCCAGCTTTCCACAACATCTGCCAACTCCTAACCCACAAGAAAGATTACTTTTTCTTTTCTTTTCTTTCTCTGGCTTATCTTCAGTGCCAAGAACAATATTTGACACATTGTCTTCAGTACTTAAAAAAAATGTGAAGTATTAAACTCAACTTGTGCTTTATTCCTGTTCACTCAAGAGAACTTCCTCCAGGGCTTAATATATGTTGAAGACGACAGTAGACTCTGTTTTCCTTTCCGGCAACATCTGGAAAGGACTTGATATCATTTCACAAAATGCTCTTAAAGAAAACTGGTTTTCTCTCCTTCCTGTGGCTTCTCTGTGGCATCCAAACTTTAGCAAGCATATTACCTAGTTTACTCGTTAAATATAGTTATTCTACAAAAACACCAACACCCCAAGGAAAGAAAGAGATTAATGAATTTCACCAAAATTAATTTTTTTATGCACAAAGGAAAGTACCAAGTGAAAAGACTATATATATATATATATATATATATATATATATATAGTGGAGACAGTATTTATAAATGACATATAAATGTGAAATATTCCGGATACAACAGAAGCTTTTATAAATAAATTTGCCATAATACTAAATCTTAACATGTGGTATGCTAATTTTTGAAAGCATGTCCTCTCTAAAGAGTTAGAGAGAAAAAGGGTGTGGCAGGCAAGCAAGAGTCCATGCTGGGAAAGCGTCTTCTTCCTGTAGATATATCTTCTGTCCTGTGAGATTAGGGACCCTTTTGATATTATTTAGCTGTAATTATCTCCTCGAAAGCCCTGTCTCCAAATGCTGTGCCATTCGTTCCAGAACAAACTATAACCTCGGGACAGTGATATCAGCATGATGTAAAAACTGTTGAAGGCAGAACACTTGCTTATTTATTATAGCTCCAACTTATATGAATATAATCAGATTAATTTTAATATATTGTTTCTGGAATAGCTCCTACCAGGACCATTTTAGACATCCACCATGTGTCTAAAACAGCCTATTTTGGAAAGGGAGGTAATAAGCCCTGGCTTCTAGTCACCTTGCCCTGTGACCTGCGTGACCGGCTGAGGTAGCCACTCACCTTCTCAGGGCCTCAGTTCCTTCGCATATACACAGTCCATCAGTCTCTGCAAATCACTTTTAAAAACGTATTTCTTTTGAGATATTAAGATAATGACAACATTTCTCCCATCTCTTTCTTCCCTCCAGACCATCCCACTTACCCTTTCCCGCTCTCCTTCAGGGTCATGGACTTTTTACTAGTTATTATTGCATATACGTATATGTATACATATATATTCCTAAAATAGCCTGCTCTTTCCTTATAAAGTTACATATACAAATGTTTTCAGGGATGACACTGAACCGACTGGTGTGTTATTCCCTGGGGAAGATCACCTCTCCGGGTCCCATCTTTCCTCGGTTGCCCAGAGTTCTTTGTGTAGGGTTGCAGCCTTTTGGGCTTTTCTTCATCCAGTTTGGCATGTCTTCTATTGTGATCCTTGCTCGGCTCCTATTTGGCTAGTTATGCTGGGAAGATTTTATAGGGATAGTTTCTAATGTTACTTGCAGACACAATCTCAGCAAACTCCCCGATCCTCTGGCTCTTACAGTCTTTCTGCCCTTCTTCCACAATGTTCCCTGAGCCTTAAGTGTGGGAGTGTTTTGTAGATGTATCCACAATTCTTCATTTTTATTCATTGTGGTTTCCTGTAGTGCTCTCAGTCTGTTGTGAAAACAAGTCTCCCTGTCGAGGGCTGATGACTACGGTTACCTTGAGAATACGGGCACATGTTTACAGATGGGGGTTAGAGACTGTGCTGGTTTAGTCGAGCGGTGGTTGTGGATTCTCCTGCGGTATCATGACTTCACTAGCATTGAGCAGTTAGCTCGGTTTCAATAAGAGGCGTGATTTCCCGCTTGTTAAACAGATCTGAAGTCCAGTTAGAGGGTCGTTGGTTACTACCAAGGCATGTGTGCCGCTACTGCGCGTACCTTAGGGGTATCGTGCTGTGCTGGTCGTTGATGTGGCTCACAGGCATCATCGCTGGACACAAACTACTCTTCATATATTGATCACTGAAGGAAACTATTGTATCAAATAAACATAATTAAGATTAATATTTAGATTTTATTAGGAGATAGTCTTAAGTATTCATATATGCTTTTGATTAAAAATGTGGCTATTTTACGACAGAATTTTATACTACCTATTTTATACTTTGTAATTTACACAAAGTAAATAAGCAAACTTAAGAAATTATTTTTAACACCACTTTTAAAATTATGCAGGTCCTCAGAGTGTATTATGATCGCCTTCTGGATAACGCTGACAGAGGCTGGCTTATTAACTACATACAAGAAATTCTGAGAAATTACATGCAGGAAGATTTTCATGATCTATTTGTTAGATTGGATTTCGATAACGATGGCATCGTGGAAGAAGATGATTTGAGAAGTTTAATGTTCTGTGATTTCCACGATCCTAGGAGGGAAGATTTCAGCTATAGGGAAATTGCAGATGTGGATTTTCTTCGGGTAATCGTAGAAGGCCATCTAGAGGAGTACAACAACATGAGCAAAAAACCCATGAACCTGGTCTTATTTCGATTTGCCATAGAACACATAAGCAGAATTTCTCGGATCTTAAAGCAGCCGCGGAGCCACGCCCTCCTCGTGGGCGTCGGTGGGAGTGGAAGGCAGTCTGTCACCAGACTGGCAGCCCACATGTCTGATTACGCAGTTTTCCAGGTGGAAATCTCCAAGGGCTACGGTAGCAATGAATGGCATGAAGATTTGAAAGTGATCTTAAGGAAATGTGCAGAAAGCGACATGCACGCGGTCTTCCTGTTCACAGACACACAAATTAAGAGAGAGTCTTTTCTTGAAGATGTCAACAATCTCCTAAATGCCGGGGAGGTTCCCAATCTCTTTGCTCTAGATGAGAAGCAAGAGATATGTGAAAAGATGCGTCAGCTGGATCGCCAACGGGATAAAACCAAGCAAACAGACGGGAGCCCCATAGCTCTTTTCAACATGTTTATTGATCGCTGCCGCAACCAGCTACACGTGGTCCTGGCCATGAGTCCCATCGGAGACGCGTTTCGGATTCGTCTGAGGAAATTCCCTGCCCTTGTTAACTGCTGCACCATTGACTGGTTTCAGGTATATCCGTGTAAAAATTTAAGTAGAATCCTAGAAATGTTGAATGTCCATCATCGCCGTGAAATATTTTACAGACACTCGCAAAATCTTTAGTTTTTTTAATAATACATCACATGCAGTTATAACAACATAAATCATTACAGAACCTCGTTCATTAATCTCAGTATATTACAGAATAGAATTTTCGAATTACTCTATCCTTATGTCAGGGTCCTGACAGGAAACCACGTACTTGAAGTCCTAGAAGAGCTTGTCAAGGAGTGCTGACAGAAGCAGGTAGTGGGTAAGAGAGCCGAGAGGGCATGACAGGAAGAGACACAGAGAACCAAGACAAACCAATAAACCTTCTGGTTTATTCTACCCTTTACTTAACTCAACAAAAAAGGAAAAACAGCATGGGGAATTTTGTAGTAAAGTTCTGTCTCAGAAAGCACAGAGCCGAGCACAGAGAAGCTATGACAAAGACAGAGGAGAAAAGTAGCAAAAGGTCTGAAAACTCAGATGCCCTGGCTTTTCATTGCACCACAGAGCAAAAAGTGCAGGTATATGGTACACAGGTGGCTGCAGCTGAAATCCTGTATATAGATTTAATGGAACCCCTTATGATGCTGGAAATTCACATAGGCTCTATACCTCTATTGCCTCGAAATTTATTCCAGGTGAACATCCTTTGCTGGCTTCTCTCTTGCTTTGTACCAGGCAAGACTGTAAAAAGTGGAGATGAAAAGAGAGGAACAGAGGGAGCAAAGGCTTTCTATAGACAACCTTTAACAGGAAAAAAAAAAAAAAAAACAAAAACAAAAAAACAACTGACCAGGACCAAGACCATGGCAAAGATGTGAACTAGTCAAAACGGGACTAGGTGGAAGGGCTGGGAAGGGGAGAGCAGATTAGGATAACTGGAGCCGAGGAGCGCAGAGGAAGTACTGTGCCTGAGGTCAGAAAGATAGGACGGGCCGACTCAGATAAGGATTTGCAAGTTGGTTGGAATCTTGCAAGTTGGTTGGAATCTTGCACTGGGAGGTTTGTACTGGGATGCACTTTAAAGTGTGTTATGGGTGTGGTTTACATTTTGAAATATTTTGTGTCTTTGGAGAATGAAGGGAGTGAGGATAACAGTGAAACATATTGATTAAAGATAAAAAAACAAAAAAAACCAAAAAAACCAAAAAACCCTGAGTTAGACTGGTGATGTAGAAAGAAGGTAGAGCTTGGAAGTTATTTTATGGTGATGCCTGTGGGATTTTCGCAGAGCACACACAGAGGGCTGGGGAAGAGGAGTAGAGGAAGGATAGTTCCTGTGTCTTGTCAGGCATGTTGGTGACTGATGGTGAAGTTAACTGAGCTGAGGAGGAGTACAGTTCTGGTCGGGAGGGAGGAAGGAATCATGGTACAGGCTTCTTGGCTTTGAGGTAAAGGTAACTTTTATTTGCCTGATGTAAGTGTCATCCCCAAAGCTTACTTCCTCCATCTGCTAACCTAGGCCTGGTTCTGGAAGCTTCTAGCCTCCATACAGTCTAACCTAGGCCTAGAATGTTTTCAGTCTCTGAGACTTATTGCTGAATAAGCTCACTTTCTTATTCTTTCCATACTCTTGCTGGCTGGTTCAACTCAGCTGCTCTGGCTCAAACTCCTCTCCAAGCTGTCTGATTCAGTCTGGCTTCTTTCTTGGCCTCTGACTTAATTGCTCTGCTTGCCTCAAACTAACTTTGACAATTTGTTCTAATCATCTGGCTCCTTCTCATTCTCTGTCTTGTTCTGTATTCTCCTGTGTCTAGCTTGCTCTATCTTCAGTCTATCTCTGTAAAGCTCTCTGAATTCTATGAATTGAGCTGCCACAAACTCAACTCCACTTCACTGCCACTCAACTCACTGACTCAACCAAACTGACTGAACAGAACTGACTAGACCTCAGACATCTGCATCCATCTGTGTCCCGAGTGCTGGGATCAAAGGCCTGTGTCACTATGTCTGGACCTAAGCTTTTCTGTATCTGAAATGCACTGTATACCAGGCTGGCCTTGAACTCAGAGCTCTGTTTAGCTCTGTCTCCTAGAATTAAAGGCATGCCTGAAGGTCTTTGGATGTGATCTCTTGCCAGAGCAGCCATGTTCTGAATTAAAGTTCCTCCAGAAGTGTCTATGAGCTATCCAAGAGATGCCGAAAAAAGGAGTCATTTGTGTGACTCTGTTGTTTAGGGGCAAGTATAATAACTGTGAAGAGGACTGAATGAAAGAATACACAACATGCACAGGGAAGCACACGCTGAATTTAGACCTCCCCTTTCTTTGTCCTGACAACACTTAGGACAATTTCTCTAAGACCAAAGCAAGCTGGAGAGAGCTGCTCCCTGCAGCAGGCACTGCCATTCTGCCATAAGCAGACAAGGACAGTCAGCAAGCTCTTTACCAATATGTCATTCCCACTCCGCGCCTCAAACTGCTCCTCTCTGTCCTTAACCCACAAATCGTAAAGGGCTGCAGCAGTAGTGGATTCATATCACTAACTTAGGTAAATTGCTAAAGTATTCATTTTAAATTTAGTCCTGGCCAGAAGATGCACTGGAAGCAGTTGCTTCACGGTTCCTGGAAGAAATTGAAATGGCAGAGGAAATCCGGGATGGCTGCATTGAAATGTGTAAAAGCTTCCACACCTCCACCATCAACCTGTCAACATCCTTCTATAACGAACTTCAGAGATATAATTATGTGACACCCACCTCTTATCTGGAGTTGATCTCTACCTTCAAACTGTTGTTGGAAAAGAAAAGAAAGTAAGGAGGAAGTGTTCTCTTTCTATGCAAGCTGTGAAAGTTTAAGAATGTTTGTACAGCAATGATGTGATCAAGTGCTTTGCGCATGAGTGTGCTGTTTCATTTGAGATTCAGTCCTTACAGAGTCTGAGGGTAGGAATCGGGTCTACTGCTCAGGTGTAGTTACATTCCCTGGTACACCATAAATTTATCTCTGTATGTACTGCAAGGGTGGAGGTGGGGCTGGGAAAATGGTTGCATGGGGATCTGAATACCCATCCCCAGAACCTGGGGTGGGGGAGGACAGAGGCCGGGCATGCTGGCATGCGTTTGTAATCCCAGTCCAGGAAGACAGAGACAGGCCAATCCCTGAGGCTTGCCAGTGTGGCCAAGGTGGATGGCACATGAGGGATGACCGTTCCAAGCTGACCACTGGCTGTCAAACATGAATACACATGTGCAGAACATGTGTCTCCACCCATGGAAGAAGGAAGGTGTGCCCTGAAGAGCAGAGGTAAATCCCTAGAGTTTTGTGACAATGATACTGAGTAAGGACCCTTAGAGTAGCTTCCCCCTTAGTCAGAATAAGCTGATGGATAAGCCTTCTCTCTGGGGTCTAGACAACTATAACCCAGAGGCTGCTCTGTTATGTCGCAGGCTTTTCTTCTCTACTACTTTTCTTCTGGCATTTGAAAATGCCAATGCAGACTTCGAACAGCCAGTGTCAACATGAGTTTTCAGAGGGATTCATCGCAAACTTTCTTTGGTTATAAAAACTAATACTTGAAAGGCACAATCTAAAACTGAAAAGTTGTTGACATTAAGATTGGAAGTTCAAAGTGTAGGAAATGTTTGTGATCTGTGCCACAGCAAGTGTTAACATGAGTTTTCAGAAAAGTTGACCCTAGACTTTCTTTGCCCTTAAAAAATTAATACTTGGAATACACATTCTAAAATTCAAAACAGTTTAATGTTAAACTTGAAAGCTGGAAATGCAGAAACTTTTAGTGATGTTCTTTATGGAAGCCTCCAGTTAGTACTCGGTCTCAAGTGCTTCCTAAAGTGAATGGTATATTGTATTTATACTTTTTGTGACTGGAAAGCAAGCAAGACTTTATCAAGAGGCACAGGAACACTCCCTGCAGCAATGGGCATGATAATGGGTGACTTTGCATTTTTACCCTTGTTGTATTTTTTATCTGGGATTGAACAAATCAAGTTTAGTTACATAAATATTTTACAAATCTAGTAAATCAAACTTATCCGTGCCATGAGCCATACATTATACATTATAAAATTCCAAAGATTTTTTTTTTTAAACCTAAAACAGAGATCACAATCTAAGGCTTAATTACATTATATTTACAGAGGATTTCAAGACTATTAACCTAACAGAATAAATTCTTTTAAATATTAAAAAAATACTTAAAACAGATTCTTAGACATGAACTATTTGTATGTATTTCCTTAGTTAAATTCGTAATCCCCAGTGGCCTGCTCAAGAGCACAAGCAGTATTACCTGCTGATTCTCACATTGACCAAGATGATTCCCAGGCACTTGCAGGACATTCCTTTGTCCCCACTTAGACTGGCTCTCGCTACACTCTCCCGGGCTGGACTGTCCTGGCCCCTTCAATCCACAGCCTCTTTTTATTATTGTTTTACACGCACATACACACACACACACACACTGAGTCCATTTTTGTTGTTTGTGTGTATGGCTGCAGGGCTGACCACTTTCTATTAGATATAACCACTCCCTGGGAGAGACTGATTCCACAGTCACTAGTTGCCTGTCGTTCTTTGTCTTGGGTGGGACCCTGTGAGGTTTTCTCCTTCCATGTCAGCATGTCTGCTGATGTTGCCATTGTTTGGATCTGGGTGTAGGTAGCCCTTTCTCAGGGAGGCAGTCATACAGCAGACTTCCCGGTATTCTGGCTCTTACAGTTTCCCTGCCCCATCCTCTGTGACAGCCCCTTTCCATAGATGCAGGAGTGTCCCACACATGTGTCTGTCTGGTGGGGCCGGGTTCTCCACACCCACGGGTCACGTCCAGCTGTGGTTGTCTGTGGTCTGTCCATTTGCTGTAGAGAAGCTTCATGGATGAGGGGTGGGGAAGAGCTGCACTTTCAAATGTTCTTTCCTTGTGTTTGTACGTCTTCCATAGATTAACTCCAGATCTCTCAATAGCTAGTTGTAGGCTAAGAACAAGTCACCATGACACCTGCCAAAAAGTTAGTTCTTAAGTTAGCGAAGTGTCACCTGGGATGAGTGCTGCTTCTGTCTCTTAACGACAGGAGCAAAACTTTTCTTTCTCTCACTCTTTCTCTCTTTCTCCTTTCTTTCTTTCTTTCTTTCTTTCTTTCTTTCTTTCTTTCTTTCTT